CTGTGTTCCGAAATTACACTCCTTTGGTGGTGGCGGACTCGTTAATAGAGACAAGGTGGGGACCCGCGATTTGTATTGGTCGGGACCCCTGAAACAATGCGTGCTCCTGTGTCGGTCAGGCCCCCACAGTGCCTAGCAGAGGGCTCTATGTAAGCAGAGGTCTTGAATCGGCCAGGACAACATTTGCTGAACAAGGGACGGGACCCCGAACGCTTGAGGTCCTATTGCGTTGGTTGATGCCGGCGCGCCCTAAAACACAAAATCAACACCGCCACAGACCCTCTGACAACGAAAGTGGATATAAGAGATTATGACGAGAGACCAAAAGAAGGCAACTGAAGTTCCAGTGACAGTCGGAGGCTCCAGTTCAGAACGGAGAGCTTTTCATCCCATTTCAGCCAAGGGATCGCTTTGCTGAACTGTAGTCCTTATGGGGGTCACCAGGAGCAGTGAGGGATTTTTGCGCGTCAATGGGGGGGGGGGGGGCCTGCAACTATCCGGGGCCAAAAACTCGGTTCAGGGGGCTCCGGCGTCAAGCAGGCGACAAGTGTATGACTGATCGCTCCAAGGGCTTCCGTATCGATCCGGAGACCCCGCCCCCCCCGAGTCACCAGCATGGCAGCCGTCAGGCACCCTGCGCTGTAACGGAATGAGCCCTTACTTTAACCTCTGACCGGAAAATATAACGTGCCTCAAGTGTTCTGCCAACTGGGGTCTTACCCGGAAAACGTAAGGGTTTCTTTGAATTATAATAGAAAAGATCGGGATGAGGCTAAAAATGACAAAAAGGCCAACACAAATAAGGGCGTCCATCCTTATCTCATTCAACATGTGAAACAAATTACGTAAACATTTTGTCTGCGTGCTCGCAATCTTCGAGGCAAGAACACCGATGATCGGGGTGGCAGTTTCCATCAAACCGAGCGGCGTCAGGCACCGCAGTTGACGCCGGGCGGCTGGTGTCTGGCGCGCGAGAACAACCGTCGTGAAATAATGCTTCCAAAAGTTTTTCTAAATCAATCCTACCTTTAAACTTTTAGCTTTGAGCGTATGTGTTTCTTGCATAATTCTGCGATGTTCTCTGAATAGATTAACAGTGGCTGCAACCCCAATGCAGAGATTCTACCATAGCTGGTGTAGTTCCATGGTCAAATTCCAGTACCTGTCTAATGTGCTGCGAATGCCTGTGTTTTCATATTGCGAGCCTGAAAGCTGTTAAGGTGAAACATGCTCACGGGTTGCTTTCTAAACGTAAGAATTGACATCATCAAGCATTCAAAGGTGCTTTTTTGGGAACGATACCGTTTTTGTCCACCAACTGGCCTCCACCTAATATTAGCCCCAGGGCCAACCCCGCGCGGTCTGTGGAGACTGCAACGTCAGACATAAAGGTTCTTGTTTACGGCTAACACGCACGCACACGGTCAAAAACATGCGACGTATTTTTTGGCATCCGGGTTCTGGAAAAGGCTGTAAATTCCCAGACGAACAGGGATTGGGCATGTCAAAAAAATCCATCACTCCATTTCGATCTACATTCTACGTCAGCTATCATCTATGTCCACAATGTCTCTGTAAAACACAGCAGATATTCTGCCAAAGCCCCTGAACGTTATCCCGCAGAAAGAGTCCACTGAACAGGTGCAAAATGAAAAGCAACAGTTTTCTCTATGCTATCATTTATGGCCTGGTTTTTCAGGTTATTGACTTCAAAATACTAACAGAATGACATCTTTCGGTGTCTTCTGCCTTGCTTTAGTGAATAAGGGTGCATATTAAAATAAGGCGGAGCAAATTGTGTCACTTAAAATCAAGTAGGTCGCATCTGGTAATGTTTTATATGTTTTATTTTTTCTCAATCCTGTGCCCCTCCCACTACCCGGATTCTGGCTGCGCACCTGTGCGAGTGAGGTCATTGTGCCCGAGTATAGGCATATTAGTGTAATCGTATGTGACCACTTAGAGCCAGCTCAATCTGCAACGCCTTTACGCTCAAACTGCGCCGCGCATGACCTTGACATTACGAGGCTTCATATACCACACATTCGAACTGAAGCGAGTTAGGGTCGTGTTCCCTTCAGAGACGCAGGGGCTTGGAGCAATGGCCTCCAGAAACAAAGCGGGCTTGCAAAGTGCGCGTGATGAAATGAGCACAGAAAGACATTCTTAACGGAATGTCATCTACTTAAGCTTTTTGGCGAAATGTTGAGGACCATTTTTGTAACTGGTGCATGGGAGAGTGTCTGTGTTTTGTGTTACGTTAACTGACATGCACATGTTTATCGATGAAACTTCGGTTTGTTGAGAACCTATGTGTAAACAAGTTCTGATAGCCACATGTGTTGCGGACGCTATTCTCATTAATGCATAGATCAAACGTAAAAATCATCAAGCAAATAAGGGTAAATTATATGCAGATTTCGCTTTTGGATGTGCAAGATGGAGATGCAACTTCACCCTTTCAGCCACGCAAAACAAGTGCTTGCCTAAGAAACTAATGCAAACTGCTGGGCTTCCATATGTGATTCCGGTGGCTAAGCACATGAACCTTAAAAAACATGCATTTATTGCAAAGTATTAAGTATATATATATATATATATATATATATATATATATATATATATATGTGTGTGTGTGTGTGTGTGTGTATACAGCTAATAAGTGGACAAATCCGAGAAGTTTTCACACCTGTCCCCTTAACGCGACTTCCGAGACTTTGGCCCCCAATCATTTTAAGAAATCGACACCAATGCTGTGACAGTTCATGCTTTGCCAATTTGACTAACTTGATTTATTGTCCTTAGAAACTCACAGTAATGGCGCACTAGCAGCATTCCATTGACCGTGCGCTACCGGGCACTGACGCGTTGTGTACATGTGCAATCCACCCCTGACAAGTCTCCAATAAAATCTGAAGGCCCTACCAGTCGTGTTTCTCAAATAATAGACCGCTCAAGACTTAACACATCTAGCTATCAGGCCATAAGCTACTACACTCACGGGGGGGGGGGGAGGAGGGGGGGGGGGGGGGCTGAAGCTCCCTAACTGAATAGGACACAGCCAACAGTTACAGTTACATTTTCAGGGTGACGGCAAAAACGTGCTTTTTTGAGGCATCAAATGCGATCTAGGGAAGGCACAGCACTATGTTATACTGCCTCACGGCCCAAAAACGGAAGCAAACAATCGACGCTCGCCGAGTTAGCTTTCTCGGACCTCAGCTGGGCGGTCCCACGGCCTGTTTGTCAAACCGCTCTTGTCGCAGCGCGGGCAAAAACAACGGAGGTCGGTCACTAGGAGGTCACAGACGTGGCGCTGCCATCGCAGAACCCGTCCACCTCGGGACATTGCTTTAAGCTGTTTCCGTGGAGCTGCGATGCCATAATGACAGGAGGGTATGTGCTCGATTCGGTGATGCCCAGCCGGTAATTTGCATGGTGAAAGAGGAATACGAATTACGAAGAGGAAATGTTCGCCTATCAAGAAAATTACTTTACGATGGAAAGGATTTCATTTTGAGGCGTAATGGTACAGCGGTTAGCGCCTTCGGCTCCCAAGTAGGGGGCCCAAGTTCGAACCCTGAGTGCGCCATGGCCCTTGAGCGTTAATATGACCTCTGCAGTCACTGACGCTCCGCGAGAGGCTGCGCGATGTCGTGCTTCGCGTTCCCTTAAAAAGAGAAAAAAGAAGAAGCTCGGCTTGAAACGTCGTCGATTCTAGTGCCTCCTGATATATTGAAGGTCGAATACCCAGTATAAGGCCTATGAACTCCTAATGCTGCAAAATGAATGCTGAAGACCCCCCTTACTCATGCGAAGTGCAATTGTGAAGTGTTTATTTACGAATGTTCGAAAACTTGAATATGGTTTGGTGTACGAATAGACCTTCAGCACGTTACGATTCAATCGCTGCGCTCGTGCATATTTTTATTGGCCGTCTTTCATAACCTCTCACTCAGAGCTTCCCGCTACATCTCGCGGTCATGCCTCAGTAGTTGTGCGGACATGCACAACCTTGCCACACAGTGACCTTGCCGAAAGGTTTTGGCCATGCTGTGCTGGTCGGTCATTCAGAGAAGCCTGTCTGTCCGATAACATATAGTAAACATGTGATCTATGTCGTCACTCCTACCGTCAACGTTACTGTGTACAATACGCTACACTATATGCCAATCGGAGCAAAACTTTCTGTCCCCTTCACATTGGGAGAACGGACAGCGCATCCTTCTCCAAACACCAAGCCACGATACCGCGCTAGGAGCCACCCTCACTACCGGGCTATCGACAGTCGCCCCATTACATCCGGTACCTTGGAGAACCGAGTTATTTGAAACTTTCCGTATCAAGGTGTAACTCTGAAACAGACGGGCACTGCCCCGTCCCGTTCCTTTGTTTAACGCATTTCCATCAAATGTAGGCGCGCAAGCGTTGCCAAGATTTTAAGAGGTTTGAAAAAGTGGCAGAGATGTTGCGCATCCTAGGACGCCCCATAGTTTCATTGAGAGTCTAATGGAGAAGCCATGTTAAACGCTCATTCATTCTTGCTGCGTTTCAATTCCTCAAGATAACTGTTAACGAAATAAAAATTTGGATGCAGGCAAGGACCGTTATCGGGCTCTTTTAAAGAGCACCATCACAGGCCCACCGATGCCGTCCCTTTTGTGTTTTCATTGAGTCTCCCACTTAACGCTTTGATATGCTGATGTAAGCCACGGTAGATTAGCCTGCCTCCGAATGCACGTCTTTCATAGATTTCCCCTTAAAGTTTGGAGCTCCGCATACATTTAGGGAAGATCATGAACTGAACTGCCGTCCACTTGCGTTCGCCTCTGATCAGAATAGTTGTCCAAAGCGTCGGAAGTCAATGTTTGTCGTTTGTTCAGAACGTTTGCAATTTGATCACCAATTCCTTCATTGTTGTTGTGTTTCATTTATGACGCGCTTCCTACCGTTTCTGCCGCATCACGGTTCAGCTGTGAGAATTCACTGTTGGAGAACAGAGAAGTGGTTTGCGGTCGTCGCTTTGTGTTGGATTTGTGGTTGCCCAGCGTGGAGTGATCGTGCTCTGATTTGCGTTGACTCGTCTTTAAACCTACTTTTACGAATAAAGAACGTGTTGCACCATAGAATCTCAGTGTTAGACATCATTACCCTCAGTTCGGTTTAAGGACACCGATTTAGATTTCAAGCCTGCCATCATGAATGAGTTGACGCCTGAGGAGGTAAGAACGCCTGAACAAAAACAACAAATACCTGAGTTTTCACCTCAAACTTTGCCACATTCCGGACGATTGCAGGAAGACCTTTTGACTTGTTCCCATATAATGCAAAGCAAGCATGCTACCTGAAACAGGTTTGGCTCAAATTAATAATTGGTTATACTTGTAATGGGTGTGGGATATTATACAAGCAGAATGGTTTGTGGGTTCCTCATAAGTGAAAAAAATTGTGGAGAGACTTGTTTGTTGGCATATTCTGGGGGCAGGCTGGGTGTTTGTTTACTGCTCAGTCTCCCAACTTATTTCAAAACTACACTGCTTACAGGGATGGTGCAGAGGTGACAATTTTGCCATGGCTAGAATGGCTTGTGGGCTCTTGATTCCTATGGCTTGGCTGGTATTATACTTCTTATAGAGGTTTCATGCATATTGTCTCTTCAATGCAGGTCAGGTCTACTTCTAAATACCTACAGACAGGGGTGTAGTTTCCTATATAGTTGGGGAGTGAGGCTGAAGCCCTTCCCCAAATTTTGGGCTTAAGCCCCCCAACTTTGGGAAGGAAGTGGCTAAAAACTGGGGAGGAACCTGTTGACACATTTTGGGGCAGCCTGGGCCATTTTTCACCATTCAGCCAACCAACTCATTCCTTGAAACTACAGCTTACCTACAGAAATAGTGCAGAGGAGATAATTTTAGGTAGGCTGTTTCATAAGTTAACTATGTATGATGGGAAAACCTATTACCTCAGATGATTTTCATTTCTGGGTTATGAAGCTTGGTGCTTAACGTCTTCAGCCCGTAGTTTCTGTTTCCATTGACATCTTTGAACACAATTTGCTATTGGGCTCACGTTTTTGGGTCATATCCAGTGCATTATGATCATGTGATCATGCTGGGATTGGTGGTATTAGTGCATAGACATCAATCCTAATTTCAGTTTCTTCAACCTGTTTGTGCACAGTAGGTTTCCAAGTGCCCTTACCACCTAGATCATCTTCCTGTGACAAGTGGGTCCCCATACAATTTTCATGGTATGGAATAGGTGGGATTAGCAACATGAACACAAAAAGAAGCCTGCTTGTCTAGTATTTCAAATGACTTCTTGATCATGTCAAACATCGTGGAGGCCTGAGATATAACACACCCAGTAAGTAAATGAATGCCTGGTCTAATGTTTAAAATATGTGACATGCCTTTGAATGCTAATGCAGTCTGGAACTGAAGCATCTGAAACAATGAGGACAAATATAATGAAAACAAGGAGCAAGTATATTTACTCAATTTGGGTACTGTGTAACTGAGCATAGCAGTACTTAAAAAACAATATTAAAAACAGTATTAAAACAGCATTACATGTGAAAAGCAGCACCGATTATGTCAAGTGAAATATCACTGATTGTTTCAAGGGCTTTAAAGCTGAGAAAATGACTGACATTACCAAAAAGTACTTACTGTGTGTCAGCAGTATTTCAGTGCTATTCATACCAGTGATATCTGTGGCAGCAGATTTATGCACCAGAGCAATGGCCCTTGGTAGAATGAAAAAGCTGCAATAAATTGCTCATTTCAGTGGCAGGGCAGAAGAGCCAATGCAGGCTTCATAGGGGACACTATTGTCAGAGGCAGGCTCACAATAAGTCATCCCCAGCTGGTCACATTTTCTTGATCTGCAACAATCCATCCCCTGTGAACCATTCATCAACCATGTCTACATTGCATTGGTAAAATGTGAACAGTCCACAGTTGGTCAGCATCCCAATACCAGTACATCACTGGCAAAAAATATCATGGATCTTGTGCAGCTAGCACTCAGTTAGCCACTGCCTCATGCATTCTTTGCGGAGAGTATGCTGGCTGTCATTACTGGGTTGGGATGGCATGACTAGCATGTCACCAATGAACAGAACACTTACCAGCTGAAAAAAAGTTCACAGGTGATGCCAGCACTGCCTGTATGATTGCTAAGCCAATGCCAATACTTCTCTTTACTTAACTCTAATGAACAGCACAGTCTAACCACATTAATTATATGAAAAGCTCAGCCAGTGATATCCTAGGTGCAGTATTGAAGACAAATGATAAATGCCAGAGAACCTCAGCAGAGAAACCCAAAGCTTTATCAACATGTACATTGTTCCTTGATGTCAGTGGCTTCAGTCCTTTCTCCCCACCATGCTCCTCATCCTACTTAGTGTTTCTCCGTAAAATGATGTTCTTCTCAGAGGTACAGTTTCAAAAGTATATTGAGGGGAGGGAGTTGTGAGGAGAAGGTTAAACTTACCCACAAAATATGCCAAAAAGTAAGTCTTCTCAGATTTGTTCCACCTTTCATTCTCAAAGATGGTGGCTGGAACACCCACCCCTCAGCTGAATAAGTAACTGTATCCCTGATGCTGTTCATGGGCTGTTCTATGCATGTGACCATTATGTGCTCGAGAGCATTGCTTTTGACCACTATGGCCATCCACAATACAAGCCTCTGCCTTCGAACAGCTGAAACGTTGCCAGTGCCACAGACATCCTCCACTGCCAAATTGACCTATGACATCAAACCAATGCAAAACTGCGAACTTCAGTTTTCTTAATGACGTACATTCCATAGGTTTGGTATTTCTGACTTCAAAGTATACATCTTTTTTCTGTGAATGTGTATGACAGCCCAAAATATTCATTCTGTCACAATATTTGTTATCTAGTGCCCATTCTTTTTAGGTATTGCCTGGAGCTTTGCCCTGACATTATGGGAATATCTTTGCCTGGATGTTTCTAAGTGATGGAAGTTAATTCTGGACTTATTGAAGGCCTATGTAGTACATGACAAGATCAGACATGCATCTGTATAAAGCTGGAGCCCAAACTTTTTGACAGGATGGATTTCTGCCATCAGCATCCATGCCGAGCTTGCTGCATGAGCCACTTTCCCACCACCTGATTGTGCAATCTCATGTTCATGGCAGCTTGTATATAAGAAACCTAATGTGCCACAGTGCTGGGTATTGCCCGCCATGTCCTGTTCTGTCACCTGACCTTAAGCGCGGCCGCTGCCACCAGCTGCATGTCGTCCCAGTGAAGGGAAACTATTGAACATCTAAAGTGACTCAAACCACTCTTGCCTCAGATGGGTGAATCCCAAATGGTCGTGTTTCTTTTGAACAGCTCCAGTCATTGTCAAATGATTGGATCAAAATGTGTTCCTTACTAAATTTAGGTAACTCATGATTTGTTCACTGCAAAATGTACTCGGCACCACTGGTGGCATGTTTGGTGTACTTATGGGCAGCGTTGAGAATATTTTTGGTGATTCCCTGCCATACAAGTTTCTTTATGCTGTCACTGTGCCTTGTGAAGGCAAACCACGGACGTCATTTCGCCAGTGTGACATACACTAGTTTATGTTTGTGCAGTGGCACTGCGCTACACCGATCATCAGACTGGGGACCTGCCTCGTGATCGCCTACAGTGGCACTGCACTATACCCACCATCAGACTGGAGACCTGCCTCATGATCACCTACAGTGGCACCGCACTACACCAATCATCAGGCTGGAGACCTGCCTCGTGATCGCCTACAGTGGCACTGCACTACACCGATCATCAGACTGGAGACCTGTCTCATGATCACCTACAGTGGCAGTGCACTACACCAATCATCAGGCTGGAGACCTGTCTCGCGATCGCCTACAGTGGCACTGCACTACACTGACCATCAGACTGGAGACCTGTCTCGTGATCGCCTACAGTGGCACTGCACTACGCCGACCATCAGACTGGAGACCTGTCTCGTGATCGCCTACAGTGGCACTGCACAACACCGACCATCAGACTGGAGACCTGTCTCGTGATCGCCCATAGATCGGAGCGGATCGCGCGGCTTATTGTCACGTGCTCGTCGGCAGATGCGACGCCGGCGCCTGGCTCGGCTGGCCCCCTCCATGTCTGCGGCGCCCGTGGCGCCACTGGCGGACGTAGCGACGTCACAGCCCCAGCCTGACGGAGGCCAGCTGCTGGGAGAGAAGCCAAATGGTAAGCGGTGGCCCAGACAGGTGGTGATTGATGGCCGGAAATATGCAGGTACGTATGACGTCCAATAAGTGTGTATGCTCGCGTTGCTTGATACATATTCCACGGATGTCGAAATCTAGCGTTGTTTACTTCATAAAGCGAAACACAATAACTAACCTGGCCTGGCCCTGGCTTTTCGTGCAGGAAGCTGGTACTGTGTCACTGAGCCATCCCGTCCCTTGTCTTCCGTTTATTAACGAATGCTAGATTGGACAACATTTCATGATGATGTTAAAGGTATGCCACATCTCGGTGATTTGGCCAAACAAAGCTGAGCCTCCCCCAGTGTGTCGCGCACGTGCTGGGGTGGGCGTTCGGCCCCGCTGGCGCGTGCTGATGACGTGCCTCGGCGCGGACAGAGAGCGCGGCGCGGGTGTCGGTGGAGGACGAGTGCCGCATGGAGCTGGACCGGCCGCTGGAGGGGCCCGCCGAGCCCATGCTGCTCGGCCCGCAGAAGGAGCGCTCAGCCATCAGCCAGCTGACGCTGGAGCCGTGCATCGACGCCATGGAGACGGAAGAGCTGGAGCGGGCCGGCACCAAGCGGCTCCGAGTCAGTGGAACCCCGCCGTCGCCCGTTGGGCAGCCTACCTCACACCTCGGCCTATAGTCCAGCCGCCTTCATTGCTGTCGTCGTCGTCGGATGACGCTGCACCGCCTGTGTAACTGCCTCGCGAGTTTTCGCCGCAACTTCTCGCGCCTTTTAAAATAAGGAGTCGAACATGAACTCCATGCGCCGAAGCAGTGACGTTATTATCGGCATGTGCGAGTGTTAACCCGGTTCTGTGGACCCAAAGTCCAATGCATCACCAGTACCAGCGTAGTCGCCCCCTCTCGAAGTGCCGTGCGTCTGGTGTGTGGTCGACTCACCATCAAGTGACTGGTGTGCGGTTGCCCTGTGTCGGTCGGGCGTGGTCTCCGGCAGTGGATCTTGCGCCGCCTCATGCCTGCGCTGTTGTAGGCCCGTGTTTACCGTGTGACACGCGGCGTCGGTCGCCGCGCTTCGCCCGTCTGACTGCGCGCCGCCGTCCGCCGCCAGCCGAGCGAGCCGCCGTCGCAGCCGCAGCCGCCGCCACCGCCACCGCCGGACCCCGTACTGCCCGTCGTGTGCCGCGTGCTCTGCGTGTCGCCGGCCGGCGGTCCGTGCCCCGATGGTGCCCCGCGTCCGCTAACGCTGGCCGCCGCGGAGCTGGACACGCTCGGCGTCGACGACTTCGTCGACCAGGTGAGAATGTGCCGGGGGCTCTGTGGACAGCAGGAGACTGTCCGTCTGTGTGTTGTCGTTTACCAGGTGAGCGTTGACAGGCGGGTGTTTTGATGGTCAGCCGTTGCCCGAGGGGTCAACAAATGCGCTTTTGACGCGCTGGACAATGGTGCACGTAATCGGACCATGCTACCGTCAGATGGTAGACAGCGATCGTGCCATGCTACCGTCAGAAGGTAGGCAGCAATCGGGCCATGCTACCGTCAGAAGGTAGGCAGCGATCGGGCCATGCTACCGTCAGAAGGTAGGCAGCAATCGGGCCATGCTACCGTCAGATGGTGGGCAGCAATCGGGCCGTGCTACCGTCAGATGGTAGACAGAAATCGGTAACTGGAGCGGAGTCCAGTAGCTGTTGAAGTCCAAGAAACATTGAGCGTTTGAACCATCCGGGATGCATCTGGATGCCATCCATCGATTCAGCAGAAAAAGTTAGATGGACCGTACAATACACAACACGGACATATTGAAACGGACCTACGTATAGTAGCGCTAATCACGGGTCCCTACTTGCGTGATAGCGATACTAATAACGTGGGATCTCTTCATTCCTCATACTTCCACCTATGGCGAGTACATGACATTTAGACATCTTCTGTTTGTTTGGCTGTCGTCGGTCCCTGAACCTGGTGCCCTCGCGCCTGACGCGTGCCTTACACTGTGCTGCCCGCCCTTTGCATGCTGCCGCCCCTGCCCTCGCACCTGGCACGTGCCTTACGCTGTGCTGCCCGTCCTTTGCATGCTGCCGCCCCTGCCCTCGCACCTGGCACGTGCCTTACGCTGTGCTGCCCGTCCTTTGCATGCTGCGGCCCCTGCCCTAGTGCCTGACACGTGCCTTACACTGTGTCGCCCGCCCTTTGAACGCTGCCGCCCCCGTCCTCGCACCTGGCGCGTGCCTTACACTGTGTCGCCCGCCCTTTGAACGCTGCCGCCCCCGTCCTCGCACCTGGCGCGTGCCTTACACTGTGTCGCCCGCCCTTTGAACGCTGCCGCCCCCGTCCTCGCACCTGGCGCGTGCCTTACACTGTGTCGCCCGCCCTTTGAACGCTGCCGCCCCCGTCCTCGCGCCTGACGCGTGCCTTACACTGTGTCGCCCGCCCTTTGAACGCTGCCGCCCCCCGTCCTCGCGCCTGACGCGTGCCTTACACTGTGTCGCCCGTCCTTTGAACGCTGCCGCCCCTGCCCTGGTGCCTGGCGCGTACTTGACGCTGTGCCGGCCCTCGTCTGTTCGTCAGGCGCTGATGGAGGTACTGCTGGACGCGACCATGTCGTCCGCCACGCTGCCGACGCCGGCCGCCGGCCACAAACGGCCCGAGTACGGTGAGTTGTCGGCCGTCGAGCGCTCCGGGCCCCGGCCGCACCTGGGACATCAGGCACGGCCGGTGCCCCAGGCCGCCGCCGAGTGTCCGGGTGTGCCCCGGCCGTCGAGCGCTCCGGGCCCCGGCCGCACCTGGGACATCAGGCACGGCCGGTGCTCCAGGCCGCCGCCGAGTGTCCGGGTGTGCCCCGGCCGCCGAGCGCTCCGGGCCCCGGCCGCACCTGGGACATCAGGCACGGCCGGTGCCCCAGGCCGCCGCCGAGTGTCCGGGTGTGCCCCGGCCGCCGAGCGCTCCGGGCCCCGGCCGCACCTGGGACATCAGGCACGGCCGGTGCCCCAGGCCGCCGCCGAGTGTCCGGGTGTGCCCCGGCCGCCGAGCGCTCCGGGTCCCTCGTCCGCGCCTGGGACGCCGCACTAGGCGGCGTCTTGCCGATTTCGGTGTACGATAGGGAGGTGTGCATGCGGCACATTAACATACATAACATCCACAGGATGGCAGACTTGATGTCTTCACAGTCTGCTTTCACCGCTGACGAGCTTCGCAACTCGAGAGATGATTGGCCTTAGCTAGCAAAATTATGTCTGCTGTCGGCTGGTAGAGAAGTAGAGCTAGAGTACAGCCTATGGAATGGGATAGCAGCACGAGGTTGGAGTCAGAAATATACCAGGCTGTTAAGAGAAATAAAGGCGATTTGCGAAAATTAGTTATGCCACGCAACTTGACCATTGTGCCTTACATTTGCGAGTATCCAGGTATGATTCGAGACGTGACTAGACGCATTCTCTTCAGTGTCAGGCTGTCGTTCAGCTCGCGATCCGAGCGGCGACTTGCGTGCTGCCTGTTCGTCGTGGTCTGGGGATTGGCAGTATTGTCTTTTGGCTGATGTTAGCACTTTGGTGCGGTAAGCTGTTCGGCCAGCGTGGAATGCTTGATCGCGTCGCCGGACCGCAGTGCGCCGTGTGTTGTCCACCTGTCGGTTGCGTGGGAAAATTATCCACACCAACGCTGATGTCATTCACCAGTACCAGGGACCGGCGCTGTGTCGCCAAGTCCTCGTTACATCCGGGCGTGCCGGGCTGTGGCCGTGTGTGGGCTGTGCTGTCGCCCCGCTGACCCCCGCCGGCCGGGCTGTGGCCGTGTGTGGGCTGTGCTGTCGCCCCGCCCGCTGACCCCCGCCGGTCGGGCTGTGGCCGTGTGTGGGCCGTACTGTCGCCCCGCCCGCTGACCCCCGCCGGCCGGGCTGTGGCCGTGTGTGGGCCGTACTGTCGCCCCGCCCGCTGGCCCCCGCCGGCCGGGCTGTGGCCGTGTGTGGGCCGTGCTGTCGCCCCGCCCGCTGGCCCCCGCCGGCCGGGCTGTGGCCGTGTGTGGGCCGTGCTGTCGCCCCGCCCACTGACCCCCGCCGGCCGGGCTGTGGCCGTGTGTGGGCCGTACTGTCGCCCCGCTGGCCCCCGCCGGCCGGGCTGTGGCCGTGTGTGGGCCGTGCTGTCGCCCCGCCCACTGACCCCCGCCGGCCGGGCTGTGTGCTGCAGACCCGGACAGCCAACGGGAGTCGCGGGCCAGCGAGGAGTTCCGCCTGTTGCTTTACCTCATGGAGTGCGCCGGCCGCGTGGAGGACGAGATCAGACGGGCGCCGCGGGTCAGTGCATGTGGGGCTGGAGCCCCGGCCGGGTGATCTGTGGTACGCCGGGGGTGAGCAGTTAGTGCCGGTCACTGCATACTGAGCGTGGTTCCGACAGAGGTACCAGAGAGAGGGTGCCATGTAGGCTTTTGGGGTTCTCTGGCACTGCTTCAATCGGGAGGAGGGATTACACCGACTCGGACCCCTATTGTAGGTCCAAAGGGTCTCCCACGGAGCCCTCGGGTAGACGTGAGCCGTGGAAGTTATGTTACTCTAGGTTCCGACAGTGGTCTCAGTAGAACCCTGTAGAGCCCAACTGCTGTGGGCAGGTTCTGTGGACCACAATTCCGCACGGGAATCGTGGTCCACAGAACCCGCCCGGCCTGCCCTGCCGCGAGTGCACAAAGCGAGCGCCGCTTGATGCTCGCTTTGTGCACTCACGCACAAAGCGAGCAGCAAGTCCTACTCGACAGAGGCTTGGGTAATCCGAATGATAACGATATCCCCTCGGCACCGCCGAAAGAACGCCGCCAGCGCCAGCTGCTGCCGGCCGCAGCGTTCCGGCTGCCTGACGGCCCGGCTGACCGACTGACGGGTGCTCCCTCCGCCGCAGAGGTGCGGAGAGCCGCCGCTGAGCGCAGCTCTGGCCTCGCTGCGCGAGCAGGCGACGCGCGCGGCGGCGCTGGTGCTGCGCGGTCGGTTGACAGGCCACCGAGCGGCACCGCCGGCCTGCCACCGGCCGCCGCTGCTGCGCGCGCTGCTCATCGGCGGTCTGCTGCCGCCCGGCTTCCTGCAGGACCTGCTGACCGAGCTGCACTGGCAGCAGGACGCCCTGCAGCAGGTCAGTGGCGCGGTCTGGGGCGGGCGGACCAGCAGGCCAGGCTCGGGTGCAGGGGCGGGTACTCCAGGTCAGTCACGGGATCAGGAGCGGACGCTCCAGACCAGTCGCGGGATCAGGAGCGGGCGCTCTAGGTCAGACAAAAGGTCAGAAGACTTGCGTGGTCGGGATGGTGCTGATGGCAGTCCTGCCGAACGACTTGCTGTGCGGCGCGTCACGAGGCTGTGGTTAGCGGCTTGCCGTGCTGTAGTCAACAGGTGGTGCTGACCCGTGTCCCGTCAACAGGTGGTGGTGCCGGTGCTGCGCCGGCTCTCGCTGATGGTGCGCTCCGTCTCCATGTCTGAGCCGGACCACGGCCGGCCGCTGGAGGTGCTGGCCGAGCTGTGCGAAGTGCGCGCCGCCGGTCGCCGCGTCATCTGCGACCTGCTCGTCCAGCTGGTGAGCGCGCGACGGCAGACCGGCAGACGGGGTGCACGTCCGACCGGGGGTCGCGGCGCAGCGGGGGAGCCATAGGGCGTGATGGGTAGGCCGCCAGTAGTAGGCTGGGACTTTGGCACACTCAGGGAACGGCAGGCTTAGTTGTCATCCGCCGATAGTCCAAAGCTATCTGTGTGACGCCAGCGTGGGTCGGTGTTTGTCATGCTCCAGCCGGCCTTTGTCTGACGTCTCGCCGTGTGCGCGCGCAGCCCGAGTGGCTGCCAGAGCCGCTGTCGCCGGCCGGCGGACGGGAGCTGGCCGCCCTCTCCTTCCTGGGGCCGTTCATGCGCTACTCGGTCCTGTCCGAGGACGACTGCAAGGTCATCAAGAAGTCATACGGCGGCTCCTCCAGTCCAGAGGCAGTGCGCATGCTCAACAAGACGCTGCAGCAGCAGCTGGAGAACGTCCGGGTGAGTGGCCGACGTCAGGCAGCACAGCCTCATGCTCGTTCACCGTGCATTTGATTGCGGGCTGTTCTTTGTCTGCTGACTTGGTCTGAAGGCGTTAACTATGAGCGTATCCGTCAGGAAAAGTATTTAATAGGCTCAGGCTGGTATGAAGATGAGAGTTGACACCGTGGTCATCGTGATTTTCCTATGGCAGCTAAAACGGGCGAGTATGGTGGCCATACCCAGTCTGCACGACACGGGCGAGCGATGAGGCCGCCGCCGCAGTGGCGCCGGCGCAGCTGCGGTGCGCGCGGCCACTGATGTTCTCGTCTCTTACTACTGCGCCGCCCCGGCCCCCCCCCCCCCCCCCCCTTGACGCGCCGTCTCCCGCCGTCCGGCAGACGCACCTCTTCCACATCGTGCACGCGCTGCTGGTGAACACGAGCTCGCGCGATGCCACGCTGGCGCTGTTGGCCGCCCTGCTGACGGCTAACGAGCGGCGCGGCCAGCTGCACGCCGACGACCGGCTGGTGGCCGGCGACGGCCTCATGCTCAACCTGGTCACCGTGCTGATGCGGCTGGCGAGCAGGGTGAGCGACGCGGCCACCCACGGGCGCCGGTGCTCTGGTGCTCTGATGCTCTGGTGCTCTGGTGCCCTGGTCACAGCTCTGGTCACGGCCGCCGATGCCCCGCGGAGTCAGGCAGAGAGCGATGTCAGTACTGTGGGATGCTTTGGACGGTGCGATTTCTTGACGATAGAGGCTGAACTGAGGCTCTCGGTGGAACCCCGTGTGGTGTTGAGGAGGGCGATGGTTTGACAGTCAGCTGGTGCAATCCCGTGTGGTGTTGAGGAGGGCAATGGTTTAACAGCCGATGCAGCCCCGTGCGGTGTTGAGGAGGGCAATGTTTTGACAGCTGGTGCACCCCCGTGCGGTGTTGAGGAGAGCGATGGTTTGACAGTCAGCTGACAGTGTCTGTCATGATATTGCAGGTTAAACTGGACAAAGTGGACGTATGCTTTACGTTTCATCCTAAGTTTCGCTTCAAGATAGAGGACGAAACGCGAGTAAAAATGACATCACAGGAAGCTCAGGAATGGACGCAGAGAATGGGTAACGTGAACCCATCAGAGAGTATTTGTCCACCAACCTCTGGTTTGTTTTAGTCATTTACTAAATGCATGCATAACGTTGCCTTTGCTTGTCGACAGCTTCATAACATTTCAACTGGGTCATATACCTGACACTTAATTGATGACAAGGAAAATTTACTCAGCTATTGTTTTGAAATGTCCATGCATTAATTGATTGATATTGCGTGCGTCCTTTTGGGCGGGGAATCAGCTTTGGTAATGCCTATCTCCTTGAGATCTGCCGTATTGCCGGCGTTCATGTCTGTGTATGCGCACCTGATGGTGCCCAGCCCTCGCACCAGCCGGCGTGCGCGCGCGTGTGTGTGCGGCGGCTCGACCCCGTGCCGTGCCGTGTCGTGCCGTGTCGGGCTGACGCCGCGTCCGTCGGTCGGCAGCGTCGGGCGCCGTGCCGGACGTCACCTGGAGTGAGCCCACCTTCCACACCGAGTGCTGGTACCTGACGCTGCACTGCCACCACCTGTCCGTGCTGCCCGCCACCAGGAAGTACCAGCACCGGCTGCGCGCCATCCGGGACTACCAGAAGCTGGTGCGTGCCGCCGACAGTGTGCCGAGAGGCGACAGTGGGCACCGGCCGCCGCCTCAGTCTGATGCGCGTGCGCACCGAGTGGCGCGCTGCCGGTGGTTGCTCTTGGGTAGTCCGGTCTTGAGCGTTTCGTTTGAAACGAAGCATCGGCGCCGCCGGGGTCGCGATGCCGTCCATCTGTGCTTGTTCAGCGGCATCGTACAATCCCGGCTAGTTAGTTTGACTGGTTTGTCAGCGTGCCTGGGTCGCGTCAGTACCACTGACGTACTACCCGTCGCGGTGAGGGGGAGGGGGAGGGGGTGTCGTCTGATAGGGCGCCAGAGTGCGGGGAGCGGCGCCCTTGCAGACGGCAGCGGAGGTGACCCCCACGTCGTCCGCCCCAGATCGAGGAGCTGAAGAGCACCGAGTCCGTCTGGAAGGACGGGCCGCACGCCGCACGCAACAGGCAGATGCTCGCCAAGTGGAAGAACCTTCACAAGGTGAGTGCGCGCGCGCCGCGGGCCGACCTCGTCGGCGCCGGCCGTCCGTGACCCGCTCTGATGTCGCGCGGCAGGCTCCGACGTGTGCGATGTGCTGCCTGCCGTGGCCTGGGTCGGACAGCTCTCAACGGTCTGTCGACGCGTGTCGGCTCCGGCGCGGGTCAGAGGCGTCGGGCGTCGCATGCCATGCGCCATATTCGGTGTGCACCAAATCAGCTGCGCGACCGATCGATCACGCGCCGCACCGCCGGGCGTCTCGTGCGACGTGTGTGACGTGTGACGTGCGTGACGTGCGTGACGCGGCGGTCGTCGGACGTAGCGTCAGCTGGCTAATTTGACGCCGCCCGCTCCGCGGCGCGCCGAGTCTCGTCTTCTGGCGGCTCGGAGACGCGTCACGCGCGCCCCGGTGACAGTGCTGCGGTCTGTCAGCCGTGTCGTGTGACCATGTGTCGGGCGTGGTCGGCCGGCAGCGTCTGAGCGAGGCCAAGCTGTCGGCGGACGCGGCCCTGCTAGACCCGGCGCTGCTGCAGCGCAGTCTCCTCTTCTACGCGCACACGTGCCAGCTGCAGCTGCGCCAGATGGGCGCCCAGAGCGGCAGCCTTCCTTCGCACGTTCCGGACACGTTCCGCGCCCAGCTCGAGTGGTACATCGAGGACATCGCCGAGTTTCTGCTCTTCACACTACAGTGAGCACACCGGCCGGCGCCGGTGCGGGTGCTGCTGCCGGCGGGGTTACCGGCCGGGCCATCTGCCGGCCGGCCGGTCGGCCGATCTCCGTAGCGACTGCTCCCGTCGGAAGGAAGGTGTGGGCTGTGGGCTGCGTCGGCTCGGTGGCAGCTTGTCAGCAATCGCATGGCTACTGTTCACCTGTCGTTAGCTGCTGTCAGTTGTGGACGCCGATCGTCGTCGCCTTGCGCCGCTGTCCGTGTCAGCTGCACCGCTGACTGGAGCAGGCGTCTGCCCCGGACTGCTTGGTTTGCTGTGCGGATGTCGGTGAACCCCCCGTGGCATGTGCTGCAGGTACCGACCGGCGCTGGTACGCGACAACATGGATGACGCCATGCTGGTGTGGCTGCTGGTGCTGTGCTGCTCGCCGTCTTTCTTCAACAACCCCTACCTGGTGGCCAAGCTGGTGGAGGTGCTGTACGTGATGAACCCCTCCATCCAGGAGGGCATGGACGATGTCTTCCACCGGATCATGGCGCACCCGCTGTCGGGGCCGCTCTCCGTCAGTCTCATGAAGTTTTACACGGACGTCGAGTCGACCGGCTCGGCCAACGAGTTCTACGACAAGTTCACCATCCGCTACCACATCAGCATCGTGCTGAAAACCATGTGGGACTCGCCACGCCACCGCCAGCTCATGATCGCAGAGTCCAAGTAAGCGACGTCGCTGTCAACGCGCTGCGAAATATGCTTCTATTGGGTGTTGCCAGCTTGGTTGTTGTACAAGTATTGCAGTTCAGGGGAGCCCAGGGACGGTAGCCGCTCGCGCTCCTTTCATGGGATGGTCGACTGGAGAAGTATGTTTCGCAAGAGAGGCTGCGTGGTGATGTAACCTGCGTTGTTTGTTTTTTTGATCCAGACCAGATGCGTTTTGTCTCCAAGCGTTTCTGCTGACTGTTTTGTGTTGCGTGGTAAAGATGGCTCAGAAAACGTAATTTTTCGCTGTGTTCGTCGAGCTATTCCACGTTTTTGGAAGCCCTTTCCACAAGAAGGTATTCATGTGGGTCTCGACTAAACGCTCATTTTACAATCACATTAGCACCAAGACTCGGAGAACGACTTCAGTTGGCATGTCCCCCGAAATGGATGACCGCGCGGAGCTCCGTCATGATCGTCACTGAACGCGTCTGACTTCCAGCACCGGCAAACAGTTCGTTGTGTTCATCAACATCCTGATGAATGACACGACTTTCCTGCTGGACGAGTCTCTGGAGTCGTTGAAGCGCATCCACGACCTGCAGTCGGAGCAGGAGGACAGGGCGCGCTGGGAGGCGCTCTCCCGGGAGGAGCAGCAGACGCGGACGAGGCAGCTGCACTCGGACGAGGCTCAGTGCAGGTCAGTGCATGCCCGGGGAGGGAGAGGGTAGCAGCAGACGCCTACGGGGCAGCTGCACTTGGACGAGGCTCAGTGCAGGTCAGTGCATGTCCGGGGAGGGAGAGGATAGCAGCAGACGTGCACGGGGCAGCTGGACTCGGACGAGGCCTAGTGCAGATCAGTACACCACCGGAGAGAGAGGAGAAGGTTGTAGGATTGCTGGGAGCTGGGAAGACCAAACGCGTGCCGGTGCTGGCACTTATTTCTGCGCAGCCGCATCCACATCCACGGCCACAGTCACGACCGCGGTTACGTCCACAGTCAGTCATATTCACAGCCACATTCACAGCCACATCCACAGCCACATCCACAGCCACATCCACAGCCACATCCACATCCACAGCCACAGTCACAGTCACGGCCGCGGTCACGTCCACATTCACAGCCACATTCACAGCTACAGCCACATCCACAGCCACAGCCACAGTCACGGCCTCGGTCACATTCACAGCTACATCCACAGCCACAGCCACATTCACAGCTACAGCCACAGCCACAATCACGGCTGCGGTCACATTCACAGCTACATCCACGGCCACAGCCACAGCCGCGGTCACAGCCACAGCCACAGCCACAGCCACAGCCACAGCCACAGCCACGGTCGCGCATGTCGGGTCACGTCGTACACGATGAAAATGTTGAGACAGCCACGTATCAAGCCTGCCGCGTTGATTGATGCCATGCCATGGGCACGGCCAGCCTGCCGTCACTGGAGTCGCCAGCTGTCGTGCGTGACCGCCGGGCGGCGGCCGGTGGCGCCGCGGTCAGATTGTGACGTCACTCGCAGGACGTATCTGACGCTGGGACGCTACACGGTGGAGATGTTCCACTACCTCACCATGGAGATCAAGGAGCCGTTCCTGCGGCCGGAGCTGGCCGACCGCCTGGCCGCCATGCTCAACTTCAACCTGCAGCAGCTGTGCGGACCCAAGTGTGAGTGGACCGACCGGCGGCGGCCCGGCGGCAGCCAGTCTCGCTGTGGCAGCCGTGCCTGGTCCTGGCTGAGCTGTCCTCTGCGGCGTCACGTCACAGTCAGCGATATTGCACCAGGGCTTGCCGACGTCCGTCAGACGCCATGGTGCTGTTTTACGGGCGGATTCCCCCATGCTCCTGCTCTGCTGTGCGTGTTTGCGACACACGGTGGAGAGACGAACGATTCGGCGAAAGCCGTGTTTTAAAAGCGTGCGAGTTCCGTTGTTGGTGACGCAGTGGGGCATCTACTAGTGCTGCACGGGCGCCCCGCGCACTCGCGGAGCTCATCCTGACTAGTCACGTGGTTGCCAGGCAACAATCTCAAGGTGAAAAGTCCGGAAAAGTACGGCTGGGAACCGCGCCGACTGCTGGACCAGCTGACCGACATCTACCTCCACCTGGACTCGCCCAGCCTGGCCACGGCCATCGCCAACGACGAGGTCAGTGGGCGGGGCGGGGCGGCGCTGCGGCGTCGGCTCGGACCGGCGCCGGCCCGAGCGGCGCCGGCCGCCTGCTGGAGGTTGGACGTCCCAGGTGGCGCTGAGATCGAGTGGGGTCGTGGTGCCATGATCCAGATGGACGAACTCAGCTTCAGTAATGACGCCTTTAGTGGTGTCGGATTGTATGACGTCAGATTGTATGACTGTTTTTGTCGGTCACCGTGCGTCAGTCTGTTTACAGCGCTCCCTGAGGCCGCAGCTGTTCTCTGACGTGTGTATGCCCGTCTGCAGCGCTGCCTGAGGCAGCAGTTATTCTCTGACGTGTGTATGCCTGTCTGCAGCGCTCCCTGAGGCAGCGGTTGTTCGCTGACGTGTGTATGCCTGTCTGCAGCGCTCCCTGAGGCCGCAGCCGTTCTCTGACGTGTGTATGCCTGTCTGCAGCGCTCCCTGAGGCCGCAGCTGTTCTCTGACGTGTGTATGCCTGTCTGCAGCGCTCCCTGAGGCCGCAGCTGTTCTCTGACGTGTGTATGCCCGTCTGCAGCGCTCCCTGAGGCAGCAGCTGTTCTCTGACGTGTGTATGCCCGTCTGCAGCGCTCCCTGAGGCAGCGGTTGTTCTCTGACGTGTGTATGCCCGTCTGCAGCGCTCCCTGAGGCCGCAGCTGTTCTCTGACGTGTGTATGCCCGTCTGCAGCGCTCCCTGAGGCAGCAGCTGTTCTCTGAAGTGTGTATGCCCGTCTGCAGCGCTGCCTGAGGCAGCGGTTGTTCTCTGACGTGTGTATGCCTGTCTGCAGCGCTCCCTGAGGCAGCGGTTGTTCTCTGACGTGTGTATGCCTGTCTGCAGCGCTCCCTGAGGCCGCAGCTGTTCTCTGACGTGTGTATGCCCGTCTGCAGCGCTCCCTGAGGCCGCAGCTGTTCTCTGACGCCGTCAGTCGGATGGAGAGGGCTGTCATCAAGCCGCAGCCGCAGATAGAGGCGTTCCGGCAGCTGGCGGCGCGCAGCCTGGAGATCCGGACCCGTAACGCCCAGAAGGCGGTGGAGTTCGGAGACGCGCCCGACGAGTTCAAAGGTAGCCGCCGTCGCCGTGTCCCGGAGTCAGATCGCGGAGAACTCCGCTGCGGAAGCAGACGACACCGGGCTGTGGGAGGCGAGATGCATGCCGGGAACTGAATCCTGCGCTCTGGTCTCTGCATCGTCAATAGTTGCTCACGAAACGCTGTCACTTGGCGGTTTGGCGGTTCGCACAGGGTTCAGGGAGTGTCTGTGTTGACGGCCTTTGCCAGCGCCACTCCCCGCATTGTGCATCACGACATGACCTGGAGTGGTATGATGGCCACGGCGGTATGATGACCATAACCACGGCGGGACCGCTCTGCGGCGTACCATCGGACCGGCCGACGTCCGTTGAGTCTGTCCTCTGCTGACGCGCCGCGGCGCCGCCGCCGCAGACCCGCTGATGGACACGCTGATGGAGGACCCGGTGATCCTGCCGTCGGGCAAGGTGATGGATAGGCCAGTCATCACGCGCCACCTGCTCAACTCGTCCACGGACCCGTTCAACCGGCAGCCGCTCACCGAGGACATGCTGATCACTGGTCAGTGGAGGCTCGGGGAGGAGGCTGACACCGGGGTGGCTGGCAGCCGGTCACCGAGGTCATGCTGATCACTGGTTAGCCGAGGCTCGGGGGGGGGGGGGAGAGCTGACACCGGGGTGGCCGGCAGCCGTTCGCCGAGGTCATGCTGATCACTGGTCAGCCGAGGCTCGGGGGGGGGGGGGGGGAGAGCTGACACCGGGGTGGCCGGCAGGCGGTCGCCGAGGTCATGCTGATCACTGGTCAGTCGAGGCTCGGGGAGGGGAGCTGACACCGGGATAGCCGGCAGCCGCTCACCGAGGACATGCTCATCTGGTCGGTGCTGTGGCGCTGGCCTGGAGCAGCGGGAGGCATAGTGGTCGGGCGGGCGGTGTTGAGTCGTAAGCTCGTGACCACGTGGCCTTGCGCCCTTACACGGAAATGTGTCCCAATTGTAAACAATGTCTGATGTCCAGTGTCCAAATGGTGTCTGGCCGACTGTCTCAATGTGCGGGGCTGTATTATTGACTGTCTTGCACATCTCGACAGATCATGGCATGGTATTGTTCGGAATGGGGGGCCGCGGTGCCTTTGTGATGACCTTGACGTGCGCAGGCGGTGGTTCGTGACACATTAGACTGCGGGCTGATCAGGTCGGTCGCGGTCACGGTAAAAGTAATGACGCCAGGGTCAGGGTTCATTTTACCGTGCCGTAAAGCGTTTGGAGAAAGCGTATGCGCTACCCCGCATACGACTCGGGAAGGTATAACGCATCAGTGCTAAATACCACTTTCTTTTGCAGCCACGGAGTTGAAGCACAAGATAGAGGACTGGAAGAAGGCCAAACTAGAGGGGAAGAAGTGAAGCCGTCTCCCCCGCCCGTCTCTGCTGCCTCTGAAGTGTGGTTGTGCCGTGTCGGCAGCTCTGTCCAGCTCGGCCTGGCCGGCGGCGGCGGCGGCGCGCACCGGCCAGGCTACTGGCAGCCCCGACAGACCGAGCGCGCCGGCCGACCCCACTCCGTTTGTACCTTTGTAATGACGACCGCCGCCAGCGCCGGACGCGGTCGCTTCCGCTCGCGGAGAACAGGCCGGGCGGGCGCGAGCCTGTGCCCACATGTGACGCGGTGCGCGATCCCATGGCTTGGACACGGCAACGTGGGTGATGTGGGACCGCGGCCGTGGCGGACGGAGGTCGCGTCCCTGCCGTGTGCAGATTGTGGCGCGCTGTCACGCGATTCTGACGTCATAAGCGCACACCGGGCCATTCGAGGTAGCGCGTGACTTGTATTTATGACGTCCCCAAATGGGACGACTCAAGCGGCCTATTGTCGCGTGCGTTATCGAGCAGCGTACGAGAACGTATTGCTTATTTATGCGCGCGGTGTGTACATATGTTGTGTATGTTGGTATATACAGGAAGCCACGTACCACGCGGTGTTTTTCATCGCCATGGGGGGTGCGTGGCACGGCGGAACGTTTGGACGCTGGGACAGACGCAGCCAACAGGGGCGCGGTGTGGGACATCCGACCGGCTGGACAAGCGGGATGTCCTTGCACCCGAATTTTTCGGGACGCAAGTTTGCATGCGAGTCAGGACAGTCGCACGGTACGGCGCCCATCTGCCATCGAGGGCCAGCAGCTGGTGCAGCCTCCGGCCGGTGTCCATTGGACGCGACTGAAGAATGTCGACAGAAATCATCCCTCTGCGAGCGGCTTCCATTTCAGCTGCGCCAGCGCACCGTTGTGGGGAGTGAACACAACGGGTTCGTCAAAACTGTATGCCTTTATCAAAACCAGAACAAACGTTTCAGCTATAGACTACGTAACTCTGCCGTAATCACCGCCCTAAACTCGACACGCGAGTGACTGCTCCCGTCAGGATGAAGCCGGCGGCTGGGCGCCAGGCACGAGCGCGCCGGCGCTGGCGCCGCGGCTTCACAGCGCTCATCCGAACGCTCGGCTCGTCACCAGACACGTGGCACAACAGGAGACGGCGGAGCGCCGACGGCACCAGCGGCACCAGCGGGCCTCGAGGGACGCAGCATCGCTAGACGCGTGCCGACCACTGGGAGCTGCCCGACCTCGACAGCGGCACAGCTGGCAAACGGCGGCGGCGGGCCGCTCGTGAGCGGGCGCCGCTGCAGGCTCGGCCGGCGGCGGCGCACCGGCTCCGGCCGCGCGCGCTGTCCGTGTCGAGGCTCCGCCACACACGTGACGCGACCGGGGACGCCCGGACGCCGCTGGCGGACGAGGACGACGGACCGGCGACGGCGATCACGGCCGTCGGGTGGCCTCGCGCAGGTTGTGGTACCAGCGTATGACGGGCTCACGCCGCTCCCACACCTGTTGCCGGCCGTACAGCGACCAGTACCTGCAACCGGACGCTGGTCAGCGACGCGGCTCCGGGAGCGGGACCGGGAGAGGGACCGGACGGTGATCAGCGGCGCAGCCCCGGGAGCGGGACCGGACGGTGGTCAGCGGCGCGGCCCCGGGAGCGGGACCGGCGCCGGAGAGCAGGCCTCTGTGGACGGAGCGGCTGCACGTCCGGTCAGAGGGAAGCAGGCAACCTTGGAAAGCTGCCTCTGTGGGGATACCAGGCACGGTGACGTGCGGTCTCGGAAGCGGCTGTTATTGTACAACACCTGAGAGCACCGGCAAAACACGCGTGCAAAGTCTGACACCGCACCCGATTTAAGTTTAGGATATGCCTTCGACCCACTCGCACCCTTCTCGTACAATGTACCGCTCTTTTAATTGGTCTACGCTAATAAAAAACAACAACCGCAGTCAAGAATGAGCAGTTTGATCGCCACTTTCACCGGGCACGGGTGTGCCAATACGCATGGCGCCTCGGCGGCCAGCTCACGCTGATGGCGTGTTGGCAGGACTGACGCTGGAAACGGCCTCCGAGAGACCTCTGCGAGACGTCCTCCGAGAGACCTCTGTGAGACGCCCTCTGAGAGACCTCTGCAAGACGCCCTCCGAGATGCCTCTGCGAGGGACGCTCTCCGAGACCTCTCCTCTCCGAGAATGCTCTCCGAGCCCACCATCCCCACACGGTGCCCGCGCCCCGGAGCTCACACGCCGAAGAGGGCGCCACCCAGGTGGGCGGCGTGGTCGAAGAAGTTCCAGCGGAGGACGGCGCCGAGCGTGTCGAACGCCATCACCGCTTTGATGGCCGTGCCGGCCGTGAAGGTGAACATCGGCAAGAAGATGATGGCCAGCCTGGAGTCGGGTGACTCGGTGCAGACGAACCCCAGCACGGCCATGATGGCGCCCGACTGTCAGGCGCAGAGCCAGCGGACCGAGTCAGGAGCAGGGTCGGGCAGAACGGGCCGAGGCCCACGCGCCCCTTGGCACCGACGTGGAGGCCGCGCCAGCAGGATATTGCGGGCCCCGAAATAGTTTGTCGAGGTTCCATCACACATTAGGTCAACTTGAACGTGTCCCAGGGACCTGCAAATATTCACACAATACGCCATTCTAACATTTATATGGTCACTTATATAATGTGGTCAATTATATGGTGACCTCATTCACCTAAAATACTTGCTCACGACAGTGTAGGGCAGTCAAGAGCATTGCGCCTGGAAAGTCAGAGACATTGTGTGTGGGGGGTCAGGAGCGTTCTGTCGGGAAAATCCGGAACACTGTCAGGAGAGTCACAAACATTTTTGGGGATTCAGAAGCGTTGCGCTGGGGGAGTCATGAGCCTGGTGTCTCGGGGAAGGGGGTCAGAAGCATTGCGTCGGGAAAGTCAGTAGCATTGTGTCGAGAAAATCAGAAACATTGTGTCTGAGGAGTCCGTAGTTTTGTGTCGGAAGAGTTCGGAACATTGTGTAAGGAGAATCAGGAACATTGTGTTGGTGGGAGAGTTAAGAGCATTGCGTCCGAGGAGTGAGAAGCATCGTGTCATAGGAGAGAGAGAAGGATCGCGTCATGGGAGTGAGCAGCATCACGTCATGGAAGTGAGAAGTCAGTAGCATTGTGTCGAGAAAATCAGAAACATTGTGTCTGAGGAGTCCGTAGTTTTGTGTCGGAAGAGTTCGGAACATTGTGTAAGGAGAACCAGGAACATTGTGTTGGTGGGAGAGTTGAGAACATTGCGTCCGAGGAGTGAGAAGCATCGTGTCATAGGAGAGAGAGAAGGATCGCGTCATGGGAGTGAGCAGCATCACGTCATGGAAGTGAGAAGCATCGCGCCAGTCTGGAGGAGAGCCGGGGCACTGAGCACTCGTGTCAGGGGAGAGAGAGCAATAGGTGAGGATTAAGGGGCATTGCGACTGCCTGGCATAGAGTTCAAAGTTGAAGAAAACCCCTTGAACCCCACAAACCAGTGTGCCAGGAAGCCAACACCGGTGTGCTGTACACTATCCGGCTGTGTCGTCTCTCACCGCCCCCATGGAGACGGCCGGCGTGAAGACGAACATCTTGTAGAGGTAGCTGCCTAACGAGGAGACCAGCGCGCCGCTGAGGTACAGTCCGAGGAACTGCTCCTTGCCCAGCATCGCCACGGCACCTGGAGAGAGACGGACGCACGCAGTTCATCCACCACCCCCACTAACGCAGGCCCGCTGTCGGGCACGCTACAGTCGGAGGCAGCGGCTCCAGGTGGCGCCGCGACAGCACGCGCTGTGGGGAGCTGCGTGGAGCTGCCAGCAGTCCGTGTGGTGCGCGAGGCGAGCCGTCGCCGGCGCTGGTGTGTCTGCACAGGTGCAGTGGAGCTGCCAGCAGTCCGTGTGGTGCACGAGGCGAGCCGCCGCCGGCGCTGGTGTGTCTGCACAGGTGCAGTGGCTCACGGATATGTCGCTAGGGTGCAAGCTGAGCGAGCACTGAGTTGACGGTTGTGGCGGATCACGGTGTCACGTGACCGGTCGTGGTGCCGCCCCCAGCGTGACCGTGGCGGACCGGGTGGAACGGACTCGTCGGTCCCCACCGACCAGGCTGGGTGCGGGTGGGCTGCGATAGTTAATGTGCGCGACTCTTCGTAATGGGCCGTAAATCCAGTCACGTCACCTCGCGTCGTGGTAGATGCAGTCGTTACAGCCACGTTCCGACAGGGGTGCACGACGCCACGATAACGTCACACACACGCGTGGCGCGTCAACGTTGCAACGGTGCAGAACTAGCGCGTTATCATGACAGGTCCAGCCAGCTGCAGTCAGTGCGTGGCGCACAAGGATGCTAGGATGTTCACACACACGCGTATCCGTGTCCACGCCCAGCTTTTGATGCCCGAATAAGCGAAGAGGCGCACAGAGCATCTCATGCGCCTGACATCTTCTGTAAAGCACCAAACACATGGCAGACAGCTCATCACATGGCTAGTCGTTCACTGTAGGGACTGATGTGCGGGAGCGAGGGCCAAGACGTTCTGGCGGCGCCTCAGCCTCGGATCTCTCCGGAGCGGAGGTGTCCACCGACGACGACGCGGCACGCGGCGCGCCGCCCACCACTCACCGGTGGAGAAACTGTGCAACACAAACATGTTGACAGCCAGGTGCGTGAAGGAGTAATGACTGAAGCCGGACAGCAGCATGGGCAGCCGGAACCAGGCTGCCGGGCGGAGGTGAGTCGCGTCAGGGCGCAGGCACGGCGTGGCGGCGCAACGCGCTGTGGTCCACGACAGATCGCGTCCATTGACGGGACTACCACGGGCTCCTCAGTGCCGCCGAACATGGTCAGACAGCGACCAGGGTCAGCTGAGCGTTACGAACATGGGTCCACCACAGCTCCGGCATGGGCTCCAGTCGCCCGCCGTCACCACAGCTCCGACATGGGCTCCAGCCGCCGGCCGTCACCGCAGCTCCGGCATGGGCTCCAGTCGCCGGCCGTCACCACAGCTCCGACATAGGCTCCAACCGCCGGCCGTCACCACAGCTCCGGCACGGGCTCCAGTCGCCGGCCGTCAAGGAATGCAGCTGCCCTTAACAGCTTAACACCTGCGCAATCAGCAAAAGCACTGGACTCGCATCTGCTCGGCCTGCAGCCCAGAACACCGCTCCGCCACGTGGCCCGCGTGCCGTAGAACTTCGCCCGCCTCCCTCCCCTCCCCAGCCAGAGCCTCAGACGTACGCGAGGCAGGGGTGGAGGCGAAGTAACGCAGCATTGTGGGCGAGAAGGCGGGCACCTTCCACGCCAGGAACACGACCACGTTGAGCAGGCACAAGGGCCAGAAGAGCTTCTGACCGTCGGTTTGCGACGCCCACCAGCTGTGCAGTTGGTTCCGCCACTCGGGCTGCGGACGTCGGCGGACTCGGTCATGGTGAGACGCGGACGGCAGTCACGCTGTCGTGTCAGAGCGGGGTCATGGTGCCATGTCGGACCGGGGTCATGGCGTCACGTCAGATCGATATCATGGTGCCATGTCGGACCGAGGTCATGGTGTCATGTCAGACCGATATCATAGTGTCATGTCGGACCGGGGTCATGACGTCATGTCGGACCAACGCCATGGTGTCATGTCGGACCGGAGTCATGACGCCATATCAGACCGATATCATGGTGCCATGTCGGACCGATATCATGGTGCCATGTCGGACCGGGGTCACGGTGTCATGTCAGACCGATATCATAGTGCCATGTCGGACCGGGGTCATGGCGTCATGTCGGACCAATGTCATGGTGTCATGTCGGACTGGGGTCATGGTGTCCTGTCAGACCAATGCCATGGTGTCATGTCGGACTGGGGTCATGATGTCCTGTCGGACCAATGCCATGGTGTCATGTCGGACTGGGGTCATGGTATCGTTTAAGAGCGGGGTCAAGGTGTCGTGTCGGAACGGGGCCATGGTGCCGTGTCAGAGCGGGATCATGGTGTCATATCGGACAGGGGTCATGGTGTCATGTCGGACCGGAGTCTTGGTGTCAAACCGGGCCGGGCCATGGTATCATGTCGGACCGGATTCATGTCATGCATGACTGCATGACTGACCTTACATGCTGTCATATTGGTGGGTACTTAATGGCCAATCCGTTCAAAAATTGTATTATAATCATCGCATGAACTTAGGCATCTGTTGATGCCAGATTCAAAGGCCGACGCATATTTAGTTTTGTGAGGTTTCTCCCTCGTTTCTTCAACAGTCCTGGTAGCCGTTTTGTGATGGATCGGGAAAGTCTCCCTTATGTTACAAAGTGAGTTAATACCTATTTGTTTAGTTGACGTTGAAGAGACCCACTTTCCATATCTTTGCCACGGGGAACATGTCTCGGAAACAACTGGCTAGTATGCTTAGGTATAGTATATATGAGCTAACTGGCAATTGATTGCAAATTTGCTCATGCATAACAAAGAGCTATCGATACTTTTGAAAAAAACGCCCGAGCAAGTCATATATATGCTATATTTTATGTATCATAGTATATATATATATATATATATATATATATATATATATATATAAGGCAAGACGGGTGGTCGTGGTAGTCGCGTGGCAGAGCGACGCCCAGTTGTTGCTGATGAAATCTGTCTAAATCAAAACCCAAGTCACACGTGTTGAACAAGGTAGGACCGTGACGTCAGGGACGCAGTTCTGTTGCAGTTGAGACAGGCTTCCGTGACGCATCCCGTGTTAAGGCAGTCTCTGCCCATACCGGACCTTGACCCGACGCGTGTCCGGGGACCACGAGTCCCCCATGGGGTGGCCGTTCCAGAAGCAGTCCCCTGCCTTGTACCGAACCCTTGACCCGTGGTGTCCGGGGACCACGAGTCCCCCATGGGGTGGCCCGTTCCAGAAGCAGTCCCCTGCCTTGTATCGGACCCTTGACCCGCGGTGTCCGGGGACCACGAGTCTCCCATGGGGTGGCCCGTTCCAGAAGCAGTCCCCTGCCTTGTATCGGACCCTTGACCCGCGGTGTCCGGGGACCACGAGTCCCCCATGGGGTGGCCCGTTCCAGAAGCAGTCCCCTGCCTTGTATCGGACCCTTGACCCGCGGTGTCCGGGGACCACGAGTCTTCCGTGACTCGTTCCGGAGGCAGTCGCCTGCTCCGTCCTAGATCAGTGACCGGCGGAGCACGGGGCGGCACCACTGACCCGCTTGAAGCCGTGCTCCGCCTGCCTGCGGCCCCACAGCAAGCCGCGGTCCATGGAGCGACGCATCATGGCCCGCACGCCCTCGTACTCCCAGATGACGCAGCCGGCCAGGATGGCGCCGGACCCCTGTGGCCATGGCGACAGCGTGAGGCCGCGCCGACACGTGGCGGCATCGCGGGCGAGGCCGAGGAAACGGACTGGCGGTCCTTACTGCAGCCACCACACATTGTATCCAGAGGGGCATCAAATGAAAATGAGACGGACACTCAGGACACCCTAAAATTAGAATCACTTCCACAAGACAGCGGCCTCACCGAGCAGAACACCGGAGCGACTGCGGGCCTCATGTAACGCATTATGGCATGAAGCAGCCCCGGTTCCACGGAGTACTGGAGCCAGCACAAAGCCCCTTACACAGTGGGCGTAAGTCAAGGTTTGCGTATTCAAAAATTAATTGCGGGATATGGACGGCAGTGTGTTGACTTACCACGACGGTGAAGATGCTGGCATGTACAAACTTGCTCCAGGTGACATCGCCCTGTTCTGGGTTCACTACAGGCTTGCTCTTGCCTCCAAACCGCGCAAGCCAGCCCCCTGCAATTGGTAAAGCTTTCGATGAAGCACGAAAGCAAGTCATCTTTAAAACAAAAGCAGTGTGAATAATCGAACGAGATAAACAAGTGACAAATGCTGGGTGTAATACGAGATAGCCATGTATCGCACACGTCTTCTTAAGACATTCCATAAAGACAATAACATGGAGCAAAATGAAACAAAAAATTAACTTATGGCATATTTATGACCTTAGTACTAGCCAAAGTGCAAATATTCAAGCTGGATAAAATCGAAGGTGTGGCAAGTATGCAAATAAATTATCAAAGCATCTTGAATTATGCCTCAAATGGTGAACAATTTACTCTTTTTCAGACCTAACTCAAGGCAATGGGTTGAAAACCGGAGCCTACATTTTCCAACTGATACCCACTTCCACTTCATGGTTTTGCAGCAGCACCTGAAAACTGCACCAAACACTGACCCCTGTTACATTGCTGTCATACTTGATGCCATGGAAATCTACTTGACTGCTAAGGCTGTGCAGCATGTGAGCACATTCTGACCCACATTAAACAAGAAACAAATGCCTGTATACATATTATTGGATGTCATGAACAAGATGCGACGAGCCCAAACATATGTTAGAACAGCTAACACATCACGACACAAGACTTACTGCCTGTGAACAGTTGCCTATGCGCTTGAACATGGCGAATGCAGCTCCGTGGAATTTGGCTGCCGGTCAGGCGCAATGCGGCGGGCAAAATAATTCTGCAATCAGATGGTTCAAGTGAGGAAAATAATCACGCTCGCAGTGAGAGCCGTGGACATCGTGGTAGTAGAACAGGTCGCAACGCTCAATAAAACCCACGTTTGCAAAATGTATTGTGTCCTTCTTCCAGAATGTTTTTTTGATCGGTATTTTGCAGGGGCGTGGCCGATGGGGGCATAAGCTGCTGCGTTCCCCTCCCACCCACTCCCCACTCCTCACGTCTGCACGATTCTATTGTGTTAATGACTTAGCCTCTCAAATAGCCAGTCTAGACGGTCCAGCAGAGGGGATTCCTTATCACCCAGCAATGGTTCTCCCTGTCCCAACACAGGGTATCTGGTTCCCATCTCCTTATCCAGAACAGGATCCCTTCGATTCACAAACGGGGCCTCCGCATACAGAAAAGGGCCTCGTTATCCCAAAACAGGGCATCCTAATCCGGAGCGATCGCCTTCTGACGTACCGGGTCGACCTCCTAAAATATAGAGGGCGACTCCCCATTCAAAACAGGAGACTTATAGTTCACAATGAGGCCTCCAAAGCCGTTCAAAAGACCTTCTTAAAACAGAATAGAGCCTGCTGATCCAGAAAACACACTTCATGATGCAGCAAAGAGTCTTCTGGGCCCAATTTAGACTCGTTTATAAGTCTACTTAATTTTTTATTATTCTTGATCAAATATCTATTATCCTTGATCAGTTTTTTAGTAGCAAAGCTGCAACAACAAACTCTCAGTGCGGCTAAAAAGAACCCCACAGCATTTAAAAAATTTTATGTTACAAGCGAGGCCATGAGCCATTTGTGCAAATTGGTATTTGGTTGGAGGGAGGGGGAGGGGGGGGGGGGGTAACTCGGCAACCCCTCATCGAACTTAACCGTCAGCAATCACCTTTGACAGGAAGGTGGCCTAAATCGACGGAGAAATTTGAAGTCGCGTGAGATCAGGGCTGCGGTTGCACACTTCTGCCTCTGACGTACGGCGATCCTGTCCTCGCTTCAAACTAACCATGTATTTTTGTATCTATCTAAGGCACACAACATGGCTAGTCACAGCTTTTTTATACATCTTTGCAATCACCGAGCGTGACGTCACGAAGTTCTCAGCACTAAGAAGATTAACTTCTTAGAGGTCATGCTGGAACATTTTGAAGATATTTGGAAGATGTTAAAATGGGGACAACTTTCGCATAGCTGCAGAAACAAAACAATGCCATATTTCACATTTGACTAACACAGAAAACGTAATGTTCGCAGCAAGCAAAACAACAAGAACAAAACACTGTAGAACTGGCCACAGAGCAGAACCAGGGACAAATCTCGACAACTAGGGGTCCCAATGGCAAGGCATCAGCACACTCAGATAAGGAAACCAGCAGCCAATGGCAGTGGCACACATGTGTGTCCCTGCATGCAGGTGGTCCGGTAGCTTGCGCCCACTCGGGCACAAGTCATGGATTGACCTGCGTGCAGGTGGTCGGTGGCTTGCGCCCGCTGGGGCACAAGTGATGGATTGACCTGTTCTTGTACTTTCTTCCAGATTTTAGCATTAACATGAGGTTTCAGCAGTCATAGAAAATCAACACTTGAGACGATTTACATGAGAAGGATGATGCTACCCCCAGCAAATCATCTAGAAGGCTCTACATTAGCTGATCCATGAGGATGGCAGTAATCGACCAATAAGGGACTGGTGTTGACCCAACAGCCCTCCAATATATGTCAAACCTGGGCCCAAACAAGCAGACATTTACCATCGCTGCATCAACTAAGATGGCAGGTATGAGGCAGGATGTAATTTCAGCCAATTTTCAAACAATGTTGCATGTAAGTCAGCTCATTAACTCTACAAACAATTGATGATGATGCCCATTTTTACCCATGGTTATAAGTATTGGGTTGAAAAGGTACCTGATGGTGTTGATGCCTTGCTTAAGTTTTGGTATCATCCTCATCACAATTTTACTCATCTTTCTGGTTGATTTGTTTGTTCTTTGCCACAAAAGGTGCATTGTGAAAAAATGTCTCTCTGCATTTGCTTGAATGATGTTGTGATTATGTTACTCACTAAGCAAAGCTTATTGTGTGGACAGTAGTCCTTCCAAGCAAGTTGTCCAAAAAAATGGAATAAATCTGCAATAGTCTACCAGTAAAATACCACCAAGACCTTCAGCATGCCATTCAGCGCTATGATAAAGCTTCCCATCATACATCCACCTTTTGTCTCAAAAACATGATACCTTGGGTGAGTACTGAACCCACAGGATGATGCACCTTAATGAAATGCTATCTGTTGCTCAGGTGTCTATGGATAGGTCAACTATGACACCATTTTACAATATCCACTCAACTAATAATTGCTTTCCCAGATGAATCCAGGGTGCAATGAGGAACTTCCAGCATCACAGTGCCCCAGGAGGGTTGATAAGGAACAAATTTCATGAGGATGATTTATTTTAGTGCAATTAACATTACATTTCAAACTTGGCTCTTCAGGTAAACTAATGCTAGATTTGGCCTTCATAGTTGTAGAGGAAACATAATCCATTTGGTGACAAAATGGACTGCAAACTAAAAAGAGTACAAAGTCTCATATGCAATGTTATACAATACTATATGACCCCTGCGGCACAGGCATGGGCCATGCCCACCTGATCATCTTGGCTATTTGCATGCTGACAGTCATTAAATATTCACACACAAAGTGCTTTGAGGCACAGACCAATATAGCCATGCCATGCTGTTCAAAACTCTCTTACCCTACAAACTGAGCTTCAGGAAGAGGCATCTCTGCATGGATAGTGAACATAGTAATACAAACACAATGTTGCAATGCATCTGCAGAGTATTCTGATGTCCAACATAGTTCTGTATCATAAGATCATGCAATATACCCATGCCTCATGACATCCTAATAATAAGTTATATAGCCTTTATAAAAGAATCACAGATATCAACACTTAAATTAATGTACATATCTATTATCATTTGGCTTAGACTGTATCCTCAGCTATTATATAATGCTTAGCAATGTTAGATTGAAGCCTAAATGTTTCTATTAAGGCATTGCATTTGAATGCTATTTCAATCTATGAAGCCTGCGCCTAGGATTGCATTCAAGGGTTACAATGTGCAGGCAGGAGCTTCACCCACTGATACTGTCTTATCACATCACTTTAAAGCTACAACCTAATAAGCTGTCAAAATAACTATGTCCAAATTAATTTTAAACACTTGTAGCATCACATGATGCAGCTGTTCCACATTCACCAGAGGCCCTTATTACAAACACTGTACTTAAGCATGTCAGTACATGCAGGTTTGTTATGCCAAAGATCAGATCACACATTTCTGTACCACTCATTCTAAACTCAGTTTGGCTGTGTGTGATTGCATTCCTTCCATTCAGTGGCAGAGTTGCAAACCAGTCACAGTTAACAGTAAAACATGAGTGGTCAAGTCATGACAAACAATAGGTCCTGTGCACTTTGTTACACCATATATGTCCTCACAACTCATACCCCACGATGCATTTACATATCGCCTACTGGTACATACCCGCCCACGGTCCGAAGCATGACTTGTTAATCAAGCGCGTTGAAGGTGGTCAGAGCATTAATTTTAAAAATGATTTTTCCTTTTTAATTGCAAACGAACCCGAAGCACACAACAATCATCCCAGTCATAACAAATCGCCATCGGCCAAGCCAATACTGTAACCAGGGCACCGTGATCATTTATATCACTAATTGTCCCAACTGCGGTATACATGAAGCACAGAAACGTCACTTGTATCCATAGCTTTAGGTGAGAGATGAATAATTGGGGAACTATCTTTGATATAGAATGAAGATCTTCATCATGCAATTTTTATTTTAATACTCAAGTATTTAAACCAACCTGAGATATTTTGAGAAGTAAACCTTGAGACGCTAGTATCTTTATCAAGCAACGCAAAAAACACACAAAATAGTCTTGATCACAGCTGCTCATTCAGGCTGTTCGGATTTGGCAAGCGGATGCTATTCTTGTGAAAACTATAATTCTATTGGGTTTAAAAGCCCTCTTTGTAGTTAATTTCAAGATCGGCTTGTTTCGAACACCCTAGATTATTGCACTGTGCTCAAATGAACGCGAGACTGGCAAGAATCGAGAAATCGAGAATATACGGTCGTTTTGGCGACGAAGTGCACAGTGGGCACGTGATCGTGCAGCCTTAGACTGGGGTGTGTATTGCGCAAAAGCTATGATTGTCCGGTGTACATACTTGCTGGCGTCGTTTCAGTGCGTGTTTAATTTTGTTGTCTGAGGCCGGTATCAGTTCACGGCTAGCGGGCTTCCATGGTGGTGTTGATTTGTAATTGGGACCATGCAAACATGAACCTATTTATCATATTTTTCCTGAATTATACAGTCTGTGCAGCACACGATTGATGCTTTCACAAGTTCTGTCTGGACAATGTTGTAACTGCTGTTTCCTGTCAGGACTGAATGTTTCAATGCTTTGTTAATTTTTCCTACGAATTTTTGACTTGCACACAAGTGGTGCATGAAAACCATGCATGGCTTGCTTGCTCGTGCTACAGACAAGCATACTAACATGCTGTATGCCTATTGCTTTTCATAGTTGCTACACACTTGATGGCTCAAAGATTGTCTTATTTATGTGGTAACAGTTTCCAAAATAATGTTACCAGGGCATTCAAATGCTTGGTGGCATAAGTTGGTACTTCTTTTCATAGTTCATGTAATCCTTTGAGATCTAAAAGGAGATGCTATTAATCTGGGAATGGTATCCATATGGTTGGGTTTTATTCATCCATATTGTGTTTCAGAGCATGTCTATGATATGACAACAGCAAGAGGACTAGCTTTCTGCTGATATAGCTATTAAGGAAGCAATCTACTCAGCACCAGTATGTCTCTAAGCAGTGAAAAAAGTGACATTGAGCTGGATGAGAAAATCAAACAACAGCACCGAATTGACAGCTTGAACATACTGTTGTATATGCTCCTTCTGATCACTACTGTGTTGACAATATGGATGTTCAAGCACAGAAGAATGCGCTATCTACATGAAACTGGATTGGCTTTGATTTTTGGTGAGACTTATGCTATGTCTGTATTTGCCCTTTGCAATGATTTTATGCTTTGACATAAAGGCTATACTTAAATTGAATTTAAACTGGAACTATATTTCTAGGTAGGATAATGTTAACCACTACTGATAATTGATATTATTTTAGCATGTGTAGTCTCCTAATATAATGCTTAAGGTACAAATCCAAATTAGAGCACTATTTAACACTTACCTTTTGCTTGTAGCAGAAGTCACTATCCAGTTTACTAGCTGATATTTTCTGAACATTCCTAGTGTTAGGAATTGCTATTTTTGAAAATGGTGTTCATACAGCCTGTTGGCCACTGCCCATGTAACCAATGCAGCATAAAACTAACTCCTTATTTACTCCACAGGCCTGGTGGTGGGTGCCCTCATCCGTTACACAGGTGACCCCTCGGCAATCACACATGTGGAGGTTCAGGCAGTGCCACACTCCGACTACAATGAGTCACTGCCACCCGACTATCTATGGTTTCGGATGAAACGCAAGAGTAAGTGTGCCATTTTTTTTTTAATGCTGGGGATGCTGCAGTTAACTGATGAAAACCAAGAGTGTAGCCTGTCAAATGTTATCTCCATGTGCACACAATCTGAAGATGCACGCATACATGTGTTGCTGTGTTAGTAATTCCCATTGATGTGGCCACAGCTTTCCTTTCTCATCTTGCCATGGAACAGTGGCCACATCCACAGACCTTGCCAATGACATATTTTTGTATGATCTTTTCATTACCAGGATTTTGGCCATTGCTTCTAAATGAATGGTTATGCACATGTTTCTGCAAACAGGTAGTCATATGTGTACCATTGGGTTAGCAGCTTTGCGGTGCTGAATCAGACTGTGCAAAACATACATGCTGGCCTTGGCACATTCCAAGTGTGGAACCCCATCAGAAAGGTTTGTTCAGCATTCATTACCATGGCAGGCAAATCTGGTGCGTGCGTGCGAGGCCGCGACTGTGACGCGAAGATTCAGATGTGTGGTGCACATGTTGAATTTGGTGCCATTGGGGGCTCAGAATTACAGCAGCTGCTGTCTGTCCAGTACTGCAGCATCTGACGATAGCTCCGTCAGCTGCAGCATGGCCTTACATTGGTCCTCTGTTTGGGGTTCAAACCTCACAAAAGGGCCAGCATAGCCCAGTTGGTGGTAAGCTTTCCAACCTCAGCGTTGGATCCAGAGGGGGGGGGGGCACGGGGCCATGCCCACCCCTTGGGCCCTGAAACGGCCCATTGGCTCCGGGGGACCCATAGGCGGCCAAACAGGTATAATTTTTAAACACCAAATGCAACAAAAATGGATATCTCTGGACTTCCATTCACCCAAGAACAGTTGTAAACAAAGATGAAGGGCTTATGAGAAGTCAGAAAAGAAAAAAACCAAGGATTGGAAAAGCTGTGAGCAGGAAATTTTAAGCACCATTGCACTGTCTAGGGGCCCTTTGCTGTTTCCGGGGGCCTGTATGCCCACTTGCAGGATCATTTCGATCGTTAATGAGCGTTCCACGTTGCCCTTCATTTCATTGCATTTACTCAGAAGACCCTGCGCTGTTGTTGGGCCCTTCTTGTTATCGCGCAGGGGCACTCTTGCCAATCACGGGCCCTTCCACGCATTCTTTCCATTCGCCAGAGGCTCTGGGAGCTATAACCGAGGTCCCATACCTTAAACTGCCGGAGTATTCTCGGTTGCCCAGGGGTCCTTTCCGTGGGTCTCGGTTAACCTACCGACACACTTGCGGTATGCTCATGGGCCTCTACATTGGTCTAGTCGTTTCCAATTATCTCTCACTTGCTTAGGGCCCTACACTCCTGTCGGGAACAAATCTGCTGGCCTGCTTGGGCACACCAGTCGTTCGGGGACCCTCTACATTGGGTCTTGGGCACTTCTTTTCTGAATGGGTGCCCCACGCTCTTGTGGGGGGTCTATCTAATAACCTGTTCGGACACATTCGAACGTTCGGGGGCCCTCCAGATTGGGCCTTAGGCACGTGCTATTTGAGTGGGGGCGCTCTGTTCGCCTCCTCGGCCACACTGGATTGCTCGGGGCCCTGCATATTGGTTCTTGATGTTTGAATTTAGGGCTCTGTGCTCCTATCGGGGTCATCTAATAACCTGTTCGGGTGCACTCCATCTCTTTCGGGAGCCCTCCGTACCGGGTTTCGGGTACTTCTTATTTGAATGGAGGGCCTTACGCTCCTGTCGGGGCCCCTTCTCATAAGATGCTCGAGCCCATTCGATCGTGGGGGACCTCCTCATCTGGTTGTGGGTACTTCCTTTTTGAATGGAAGACCCTCCACTCTTTTCGGGGGCCTTATCTGTTAACCCGCTCTGGCGCACTGGATTATTCGGGGCCCTCTACATTGTGTCGTGGGTATTTCATATTTGAACGGAAGGCCCTACGCTCTTGACGGGGCCTCATCTGTTAACCAGCGCGAGCACACTCGAATATCTGGGGGCCACTACCACCACTATCTAAGCAGTGGTTCGCGTCTGAAAAGTAGTGGCTCGCGTGGGAAAAGTAGCGGTTCGCGTTGGAAAAGTAGCGTTTTGCGCCGGAAAAGCAACGGTTGGCGTCGGGAATGCAGCAATTCGCGTCAGTTGGACAAAGGCTAAGACGGCCGGGTTGTTGCGAGGTGACCGTGGCATGCTTTTATCACGTTAGATTATTTGGCCCTATTTGGTATACAGACTAGCAAACAATGTTAGACGGCCCACAACTGCTCAACTGGGTTGATAGAGCCAGGGTTTCTGAACGGCTTTGCTTGTCGTGTTCTTTTCGTCCCAAGCGTAGATAAACGTAGAAAGACACGCGTACGTGAGTGTGGTGCATCATTGAACGAAGGAGTATGGTGCTACAATTTCTTCAGAGCAAGCGATGTGTATATCTACACGCGCACTTAAACGGATTGCGATGAAAATGTTCCGGCAGTTCTCCCTGAAATGGTCGTCAACATACCTTTACAATAAGCCTCTTCGCGAAGACAACAACTTTCTTTGAGGAAAGTCGCACGGACACCCTGTAACCTGTAAGACAACACAATTTTCCTGAAACTAAGTTTATTTCCATTTGTCTTCTTCGCTTATGATTGCGCGGTTACCGCGCTGGACTGCTCTTTACCAGCCCGAGGCCGTGCGTAGTTGCTGACCACGAGGGTTTGGCTGTGGTGAGGTGTGGAGCGTCCGTGCTGGAGGACGAGCTTGGGTCGGCCGCGCCGCCGCGGTGTCTGCTGTGACGCGGCGGGTGGTGACGTCACCGTGACCCGCCGGTCCGCCCGCTGCCGCTGCTGCTGATCTCACATTCGCCGGTGCTGACCTGGCCGTCCTGCTGGTCGGACCAAGGCACACGCTGCGTGTGGGGTGTCCTGACCGCTGCTGGCATGCTACCCTGTCCAGTACCCTGCTGCTGGCTCTGCCTCTGCTGCTGACCTGACACGTGAATACCCGACCCTGCTGACCTGACCCTTGCTGACCTGCACTCCGCTAACCTGACTCCTTATGACCAGATCCTAACCTGATCCCTGCTTATCTGACCCCTGCTTACATAACCTCCGCTCACCAGACCCTCGCTGACCTGACCCTTGCCACCTTGACCCGTGGCGACCTGACCTGCACTGATCTGACCTTGCTGGGCTCCTTCTGCCTGTGCTGAGCCGACCGCCCGCGATAGTCCGGGTGACCAGGTGCTATTTGTCTGACCGACAGTGCCGCCCGGGGAGGGGAGCGGCCCCGGTAAGGCGCCTGCCCGCTGGCATGCGCGATGTGCGCGTGCCCGTGGGTGTGTGTGTGTGTGTGTGTTTTTGGGCGATCAGGTATTGCTGCACGCATCGATCGGACGCCCCAGCCCCCTCCCCCTCCCCACTGGCCGCCGCCCGCGGCTGGCGTCTCGCGGCCACACTGAGGCGCCGGCTCAGGTTACCGACGCGGAGCGGCACGACGGCGGACACCGGCACGCCCGCGGTCACCGCCGGGTCTAACACGACGGTCCGGTCGTGTAGCGCGTCGAGGTTGGGTCAGGTGTTACCGGGGCAAGAGAACGGCAGACCGGTGAGACCAGACCAGACCAGGTCAAAGGCGGAGTCTAGCATCGACCATGGAACTTGTGTTGTTGAATTGCAACCCCGCTTGGCCGAAGTTCTCGCACAGCGATTGGTTCTGAGAAGGTGTGTGACACTGCACGGTATATCAAGTTAGAAAACGAGGAAAATGTAAAATATGGTCCGTTCGGCCATGCTGCTGATATCACCAGCGGTGTACACATATTCAACCCGGACGGCTGGAGTCTCGCAGTGGAAGCTGTCGGTCATGCTGCTAAAATCACCAACGGTGTACACATATTCAACGCTGATGGCTGGAGTCTCGCAATGGAAGCTGTCGGCCATGCTGCTGAAATCACCAACGGTGTACGCATATTCAACGCTGATGGCTGGAGTCTTGCAATGGAAGCTGTCGGTCATGCTGCTGAAATCACCAAAGGTGTGCGCATATTCAACGCTGATGGCTGGAGTCTCGCAATAGAAGCTGTCGGTCATGCTGCTAAAATCACCAACAGTGTACACATATTCAACGCTGACGGCTGGAGTCCCGCAGCGCAAGCTGACACCAGATAATGCATCATAATTTGCTAGTTCTATTTTTTCCTAGGATATTATTTCACTGGGCCGATTTGAATAAATGATTCGTCATATTCCGGCCGGGTCATAAGCGTTGGCTGTACATGCTAGCATTACTGCATTCTTACTTGTGTGAGTCACCAAACGAATTTGTTTGGTTCGTTCAGCATCCCATTTTCAGATCACACGTACATACCTCGTGCTGATGTCCCGTGTTTAAAAATGTTCTTCTTTTAGGCATGTGACTCACCGTAGTAGTACTTATATTAAAACCACGCACAGGCAGATATCATCCCAGATAGCGCCAGTGCTGGCCGTTGTTGACTGCCGTTCGCTGGGAACGGACCGTTGCTGCGGTGCACTCATGCTCGTCTCGACACGGCCAGGCCGCCGGTGCGGCTTGAGGTAGCCCCCGACGTTAATCGGCTTACACGCCCTCACGTGACGCGAGCGGGGCGTTGGCATGCTTTGTCCTAACGACTGACGGGCGGTCAGGGCAGCTCGGCGCCGGTCTGAGCGTCGGGAGAGACGACGGCGGGGTCCCGCATGCGCCTGCTTCTGCGGCAGCGAGGCGAACTGGGCGATGCGCCAGTGTCAGCGGCGTCATGGCGTCGGGAGGGGTTTTCAGCAGACCCACCATTGACTCGGTGCACGCGGTGATGGTCGAGCAACTGGGAGTGCGTGGCACGGGCGGGCGGCAGCCTGATCTCTGTCTGTCGCCTGTCCCACTGGTGCGCACCGTCGCCTCGTCAGTGATGGCGGACCGCACTCTGGCGTGATCTGCCGCTCGTTTCGCACGTGTGACGCACGGGGTTGGTGCATCGTACCGGGGTGTGGGGGCGGCGCACGGGACACCCGCCCCGGACGAGACGAGGGAGTCTCGGCGGCGCATGCCTTCCCCGCCCCCCGACCGCCGGCCGCGTGAGGCGCCGTGGCCTGACCCTGCTCGCCGCGGCCCTGCGTGATGGGAAGCGGGCCGTCCGGTTCGCAGGCGCTGTTGGGCTTGGTCTGAGAGGCGGTCGTGACCTCCCTCTATCCTTGACCCGCGTTGTGTTGGTAACATGGGGCGGCTGCGTTTGTCAGCGGTTCCCGGTGCGTCCCTTCATGACCCGGGCGTCGGTGGTACGACCCGTGCAGCGCTCCGACGGTCCTGACGGGGTGCCCGGCCGAACACGCTCTGTTCCCTGGTGGCCATGATGGGGCCGGCGGTGTGACCCGTGCCGACGGACGGTGAGACTGACCGCGCCTCACCTCGGCCGCCAGTGGAGAACAGGACGTACGCCTACCTGCTCACGGGCGAGGTGGAGGACGCCACCGGCAACGAGTTCGCCCAGCAGGCCACCTTCGACCCGGAGATCTTCTTTAACATCGTGCTGCCACCCATCATCTTTAACGCTGGCTACAGCCTGAAGCGGGTGAGCGACGCGGGGATGGAGAGGGTGGGGGGCGCGGTCCGCCGTCAGCCGTCCGGTGCCAATCGATACGGCGGCGGGCGATTCATGTGTCGGCCGCGGACGGCGCCCCCGCTCGGCGGACGTCGCGCCCGGCCGCGGTCGACGGCGCGGGGCGGCCACCCGCAGACGGCGCGTCAAGTTACGACCGCGTGGGGCCCGGCGCCGGCGGCCACCGAACACCTGTGGCAACGTCGCAGGTCAAGTCGCCGTTGTCTCGTGCAGGGGAATGACGATGCGTGTTAGAGACTTGGTACCGTGCTTTATTTTACCGCAGACGCTGTGTCTCCAGTTCGTGCTCGGTTTCTTTGACGCGTATTCAGTGTTTGACTGCGGTATGGCATGGCTTAGATGATAACCGAGGTCCTGATCCGTCGTTGAAGGCCGTCCAGTCACCTCGGCACAGCATAAACACGTCTCACCACAGCCGACGTTGTGGGGTGTCTTGCGTCAGCTGATTGCTGACGGGCTGGGGTCCGCGCGGGAGTTACCGCCATGCGATTCTTTCGCAGAAATTCTTCTTTCGAAACCTAGGCTCAATCCTGTGCTTCGCCTTCATCGGGACAACGATCTCAGCGTTTGCGATCGGGTGAGTGTAACAGCTGGCGGCTGGACCACAAGGCCGTGTTCATGTGGTCAGTACTGCGGGAGCTCCCGTCGCTGCCCCGTCGAACTAAGGCAGCGGCTCTCGGCCGACCCCGCTCCCACTGAGGCCGCGTGATTCACGTTCAGAGGCCCAACAGAGGATGGAAGTGACGTCATGCCAATGACTTGCGGTCGATGTGCCTGCTCGGGAACGTGCAGCAGCCGGCGATGCCGTGCTGGATGACCGGCGGTGACGCATATCGACATCTGAGCTCAGGCTGGATTTGCCGACCCTCTTGTTTTGTGTCGCCTCCGACAGATGTCGCGTATCTCGTGTGGACCTCTCGCTGCATTAGTGCCACTGCTAACGTTACATTGCGGCGTTTCCCGTCCGGCCCTCATGATAGAAAGGATATTCTGAATCGTGCCAGCGCGCAGGCATGCCATTCATGCAGTGGTAGTGCCGCGAAAACAGTAGAATGCCCATCGTCTCAAGCTTGCAGGAAGTCAATAACAGCTCGAAGCGTGTTTTCGCGACAAACTCTGTACGTCGTTTGCCATTTGGTTCTGTTGTATCACGCTGGCGAGTTTTGAATGGATGGTATCAGTGCAAGGTGGCGGACCTTAAGCCTCCAACTCAGGCGATACAACTGCTTCATGCTGACGGCTCATCTACGACCCGAAAGTGGCGGCCTTATCGCCAGACTAAGGCCAAGTGCGTAGTTCAAATGTGTGGACTGCGCGGGGTATCCGCGATCCGTCACCGCGACAGAACCTGCTCATAGTCGGATTCGGGCGATTTGTCGCCGCATTGTGCGGGGGCTGAGAGGAAGCTGTCTCGCAACGCTCGGATGTAAGCAAACGTCGAGATTTCGCGACGAGGCAAGAGCCGCTTCCCATGTAGTCCCTTCGAAATTCTACAGACATTGTAGATCGCCAATTGAATCACTTCAGAGAGAAACAGGCTCGACCCGTCGGTGGCTTGGACTGACGGAGTCGACATGACGTGTAGCGTGACTTCATCGACCAGGAGGGAATGGATTCGCGCACGGTTGGCATTATCTATTGATAGATATTCATATAATATTCTCTCCGTATGTATTGCAAGTGCGAGAGGTTCGCACTTACGCTTGTGGTTGCAGGCTAAGCTAATTGCCGCAATGCGGCTTAATGGCGGCGGCAGTCTGCATGCATACACCGCAGCGTGTGTCATAGTCTATATAAATGGAACGATATATAGTCATATGTATATATATATATATATATATATATATATATATATATATATATATATATATATATGTATATAGACCGGCCCATTTATCCTTCACTGTATGTATACAAGCTCGTAACAAACGCGTCATATACCGTAGGACCCAGTTTCTGCTGTGTGCCACGGATTCGGGTGGTATTTTCATCCATGTGCTTTTTAGATTGTGCGATGTTTTTTGTGCAGCTGTAGGTCTGTTAACATATTTGCTGACAACGCTATCGGCGGCGCGCATTTTGATCGATGTGGCCGTCATGGTCAGACGTCAGGTGCAGTGTTTTGACCGATGTGGCCGTCATGGTCAGACGTCAGGTGCAGTGTTTTGACCTATGTGGCCGTCGTGGTCAGACGTCAGGTGCAGTATTTTGATCGATGTGGCCGTTGTGGTCAGACGTCAGGTGCAGTGTTTTGACCTATGTGGCCGTCGTGGTCAGACGTCAGGTGCAGTGTTTTGATCGATGTGGCCGTCGTGGTCAGACGTCAGGTGCAGTGTTTTGACCTATGTGGCCGTCGTGGTCAGACGTCAGGTGCAGTATTTTGATCGATGTGGCCGTCGTGGTCAGACGTCAGGTGCGGTGTTTTGATCGATGTGGCCGTCGTGGTCAGCCGTCGGGTGCAGTGTTTTGGCAGCGTGACTGATGGCTTTCTTTGGACGCTGACATTGCGGTCCATTTCCGCTATTAGTGCCTGATCACGGTGCGAAAGTGTCGGCTTCAGACACTGTAGTGCTGCGTCTGGAAGGATTCGAGTGTCCCGCTGCGTTCTGTTGTGCCGGTGCCGGACTTGTGAGTGTCCAGTACGGAAATGTGCGTGCGTGCGTGCGTGCGTGCGTGCGTGCGTACGCGCTTGTGTGTATGGGTGCGCGTGTCCATGCGTGCGTAAATGCCTGCGTGCGTGCATACATGTACGTCGTCCTGATATATGGGCCTCCTCTTCAGAAGCGTTGGCGTTCTGTCCGGATGCCTGACTGTCCTGTGCAGACGCCTGAGTGTCGTGTGTGAGTGCCCCGTCGGGCCGCGGAATGTCCTGTCTGGCCGTGTGAGTGTCCTATCGGGCCGGTTAAGTGTGTGAGTGTCCTATCGATCCCCAGCGGCGTGCAGTACCTGTCTGACCCCGGCTCTGTCGATCCCCAGCGGCGTGCAGTACACGTTCGGCCTGCTTTTCTCGTCGCCGCCGTCGCTGCTCGACTGCCTGTACTTCGGCGCGCTGATCTCGGCCACCGACCCCGTCACCATCCTGGCCATCTTCAACGACCTGCAGGTGGACGTCAACCTGTACGCCCTGGTATTCGGCGAGTCGGTGCTGAACGACGCCGTCGCCATCGTGCTAGTCACGTGAGTGGGGCGGCGGCGGCGGCGGCGGCGACTCGTGCCCGGGTTGTTCCCGGATCGTGCCCGGCTCGTCCCTGGCTCGTACCCGGCTCGCGCCCGGTTCGTTCCCGGGTTGTTCCCGGCTCGTCCCCGACTCGTCCCCGGCCCGTGCCCGGCTCGTGCCCGGCTCGTCCCCGGCTGGTGCCCGGCCCGCTCCCGGCCCGCTCCCGGCTCGTCCCCGGCTCGTCCCCGGGCCTAGCTGGGCCGCAGCCCAAGCGGGGCCGCCATGTCATGCCTGCAGCGGTTGTGGAATGTGGCCGCCCTGTTGCCGCGGTAGCCAGAGCGCGGCTGCAATGGCCTCATTGTGTTGCCCGCGTTTGATGTTCCCAGCTACGGGGGATGCCAGACGCCGTAGTGTCAGTATTCTGAAACTGAAGTCGTCCACATCGCCGGCCTCTGTTCTGCAGCGCCATCGAGAACTACGCCAAGCTGTACGCCACCGGATCGGACGGCTTTGAGGCCATCGCCTTCCTGAAGGCGATCGGCCTCTTCTTCTACGTGTTCTTCTCGTCGTTCCTGCTGGGCTCCGTGATGGGCTGCGCCACGGCGCTGCTGACCAAGTTCACGCACATCCGCGACTTCCCGCTGCTGGAGAGCTCGCTTTTCCTGCTCATGTCGTACTCGTCCTTCCTGATGGCCGAGGCCGCCGACCTGACCGGTAAGAGCGCCGACAGACGGACTGTGGGAGGTTGTGGGGTAGGGAAGGGAGGATGAAGAAAGGCTCGCTATCGGCCAGGCAGTGGGAGGGTACGGGGTGGGGAAGGGAGGATGAAGAAGCGGTAGCTATCTGGCAGGCAGTAGGAGGGTACGGGGTGGGGAAGGGAGGATGAAGAAGCGGTAGCTATCCGGCAGGCAGTAGGAGGGTACGGGGTGGGGAAGGATGGTGAGGGAAGGCGCGCCGGCTGACGGGCACGTGAAGCGCGCTGGGACAAGAGCTCACGTTCCTACCGTGGTGAACACAGACAGCTGTATACCGGGCATCCGTTGGAGCGACCCGCTCGCCGTCTGATGTTACGGTGTCGCCGAGTGCTGTGCTCTGTGGAGCTTCGGTGGCCTCCAGTGGCGCGTGAGGACGTAACCGTAGTCGACTGGTCCGTGCCTTACATTCAGCGTGTGTTTGCATCCATGTGCCTGTAAGTACCACTGCGGCACTGGTTGATGGCGAAAGAAAGGAGAGCGGTGCGGCTAAGCGTGTTGATATCGCCTCGCCCCGCCTCGCAGCGCGGTTGCCCCACTTTTTTGGAATATTGGATCCATTTATTGATCTCAACTTCCGATTTTACTTCCCTTCTAATTGAAAAACGCTATGTCAACTCCGCAGGACGCAGAGACACCATTACATAATATCATCACATCACGTCCATTATAATTTTCCACAGCATCCAGTTTACAGTAACAGTTGTGAGTTTGGTTATTCGAGCTCGTCCTCCCTGTCCCCTCCTGCTTCCCCCCATCCTTTCACGGAACACATATCCTGTCGATCTAGTGCCCTCCCGTGGCCTTATTCTATATGGCCCGTCCCTCTTGTCTATAGAACACACATACATATAACAACACCACAAGTTCGCACGAATTTTCTTAGCTCTTATCATAACGCACCCATCAACTTTTCTGTCACGTTCCACAGTAGCATGAACTACTTGGCTGTATGTTTCATTACACGAACGCACGCTTTCGCTCTTCGGAAAGCCCTTAAACATATCAAAGACGAGGAGCGTCAGATTGCTCTCACTCTTACTTTGTTCCATATGGACGACCTGGTCAGCTTCAAAAACAGGTTTGAATCGTATTTACTGCCGGCATAAGTTCCAAAAAAACCGAGGCAGGTGTAGGTTCCATCGGCCGTATTCCCCACTGTCACTCCTGAGAGCACCTCGCACCTGGTCCCAAAACGCTACAACAGCTCGACAATTAATCATAAAATGTCAGGCTGGTCCGACCCCGTCTCTGCAAAAGACGCGCCTCCCATCAATTACTCCGGATATTTTCAGCATCTTGTTAGGTAGAAGCATTCTACGCCATGTGCAGAGTTGGGGCAACCTAAGCCCAATGTTTTTGTACTCGCGAGCTGGCGCCCCATTTGGCACGGCGTGTGGAGGCCCCACGAGCCGCAACGTCTGAGGTAGGGGCGTGGGAGTGTAAACGGTGTGAAGCTCCGCGCCCCGGCCGTCAAACCGCGCGGCCGCCAGCTGCGCGCGCCCCCGCCGCCAAGGCTACTGCACCTGTGACGCGCCGTGAGCGTGGCATATGGGACCTGCACAGGTGCGGTCTAAAACAACACCACGGCCTGTGTACTTTATTACACCTCGAGGTGTGTTAACACTGACGTGTTCAGTCTGGTGAAGACGAGGGTGGGGGGGGGGGGGAGGGGGGGGGGGGGCGAGGCAGGACTGGTGAGCTGACTATGACGAGAGGTGCAGCTGTGTATGCTTTTGACGGCTTTTTTAGCTTGAATATTGCGATACACATTAATCATAGTGTGGTTTACAGGCTCAATATGTTGCTCAGTAGCTCGGGCTTAAAAGCGTTAGCCGCTGAAAGAGGGCCCTGCGTGCTTTGATATGCGTCGCTCTGCGTACCGGAGGACCCGGTGTGGGATAAGCGGCCGGGCGCCGGATCCCAGGTCCTCCGGCCGGCGTCTGACGTCATCTGTCACGTCACTCGTGGCCCGAGCTGCGAGGCGGCGCAGTGACTTGTAACGTCACCTGTGACGTCACCTGCCGGCAGGTATTGTGGCCGTGCTGTTCTGCGGCATCTGCCAGGCCCACTACACGTACAACAACCTCTCGGATGAGGCGCGCGTCAGGACCAAGGACTTCTTCGAGATGATCAACTTCCTGGCGGAGAACTTCATCTTCAGCTATATCGGAGTCTCGCTCTTCACATTCCCCAAACATCAGTGGGATTTCGCCTTCATCAGCTGCGCCTTTGTATCCTTTGACGGGCTACGAGAAGAGCGGCGTGGAAGGCGTACAGTAGCAGCACGCTGTTTGCTTTCTTTTTTGTGTGCGGTGTTTGTCGTGTGTGAAATTTCATTGATTGATTTATGATCGAGACTTTGAGGTGCGCCGACGACCAAGGTCATTTTGTACCCGAAAGCTCCGGGTGGGACCCGATCCGACATGATCGTGTTAAGTTGCACGTTTCGGTCGTTGCGATTCGCTGGGCTCGTCTTCCACTCGGTCTAGTTTGAGGTGTCGGGGGTTGTCGAGTGTCGGGTCACTCTGCCCGCACTTGGCGTGCATGGCTGCTGGTCGATTCTCTCGGTCGCAGCCGCTGTGGCGCAGCCTTCAGGACAGTCACGACGCAGGATTAGCGGCGGGGCCTCATGTTCAGGTGGAAGGGGCTTCAGGACCACCTCCCCCGCCAACTCTGCTTCAGCCGCCCTCAACTTGGAGAGGAAAGCGGTGGGTGGAGACTTGACCACAGGTGGAGACCAGAGCGAGAATCCGTGGAGAACTTGGACTTTGCTTGAAAATGTGGGCAGCTCACAGTCCACTGGGCTGTGTCCACTCAGCGCCGGGTGAACGCCGGCTGCTGTCGCGGCGGGCCGGTGTCGGGTGAGCGCCGGCTGCTGACCGGCGTCGGGTCAGCGCCGGGTGAGCGCCGGCTGCTGCCGCGGCGGGCAGACGGAGCCGCGGCCCCGCCTGCCGCGCCGGCCGCGGCTCCGCGGGCTCTGTAGCCGGTTAGTGTCCTTGACGGCGCCGTGTGCAGGTGTCGCTCTTCATCGGGCGTCTGCTGAACGTGTACCCGCTGTCCTGGCTGCTCAACCTGAAGCGTAGGCCGGTCATCCCGCTCAACTTCCAGCACATGATGTTCCTCTCCGGTGAGTGGCTATGGCGCGGTGTCTCTCTGCCACTGATGGTCTGGAACCCCGGCCGGGGAGACTTTCAGCTGCCCTGGATGGTAGGAGCCCAGAGCAGACGCCTTGAAGTGCCAGCACATTTGAAAGTTTGGCGCGGACGCCCAGTGTGTTAAATTGCAGGATTTGGGATGAAAGTAACGCATTTTACGGGCGACTTCGGACTCTCAGTTTTAAATTCGTGTGATTGTCATCCCCATTCATGGACGGGTTAGATTTACCGCTGATTTTGGTCTCCTTCAGGGCTTTGACGAAGGCATGTCAGTCCCCTTGTCATCTCCTGTTGAGGCAATTTTGATGAGCTGCTGACGACGAGGTGGCATGCATGATTTGTGCCTATGGTCTTGTCCATAATGATGGGGCTCCCACAAATATGTCGCCCAGGAGGCGTTTCCGTTTGATCGCCGAGAAAGAATCAGCCGGCACATGCGGTCCATATATGCCGTTGTGCGGCCTGTTCTGTTACATCAGATCCGCGTCAGGAGGGGCGCGTTCCTCATGTGTGAGCTGTTTATGGACGGGTGCCCTCCACGCTCATTCGAACATTTGCGGCTTGGTATGCCAGCCCGCGTGACGTTTGCAAGGCGCTGAAGCCGCTCGCGCGGGGCGGAATCCCTCAGAGCGCCCGGCATTCGGAAATGGCCTCCAGGAGGTTCGAACGCACCGCATTGTAAACACAAATGCTGCACCCAGATCTACAGCGTCGGCCGCCGTGCGGGCCACGCCATTTACTCGCTGCTGACGGGCTGCACCTCTGGGCGCTCCGTCGTAGTTCGTCTTCAGGCCTTCTGATCTGACCTCGTGGCCGTGTCCGTAGGGCTGCGGGGGGCCATAGCGTTCGCGCTGGCGATCCGGAACACGTACTCGGTGGGTCGGCAGACCATCCTCACGGCCACCTCCATCATCGTGGCCGTGACCGTCATCTACGGCGGCCTCACTACCCAGCTGCTGCTCTGGCTGGGCATACCGTGAGTCCTGCTGCTGGGGTAGCGACGCGGCAAGCCGGGCCGTTGGCTTCGTTGGCTTCGTGGGCGGAACAGAGTTTTGACAGAACAGAGTGGTGTGTGTTTTACACTTACAGGCTAAAGCGAGGCTTTGTTTGCCGGTCGGGTGCAGGCTGTTGCCATCACGCTCCGAAACGGTGAAATAGCATGTCGAAACAAGCGTTTGGCAGTCACTTTTAACGCCACCTGTTACCAATTCTCAGAAGCGTTGGCATGCCGAATCCTCACAAATCGTCTCGCGAAGGAAAACTCGTGAAAGGCGTGGGGCTCGGTCACGTCGAATGGCACCGCCATCGGCGGCCTTTCGGGATGTGTCGGGGGCCCGCCGTGAATGTCTCGCCAGCAGGGCGGCGGCTGACCTGACGTGACCTGGCCGGCAGTGTGGGCGGCGAGGAGGACGACGAGACGACCGGGCTGAACCAGCTGCAGCGCTGCCGCCCGGTGAGTGTGGGGTGCAGCCCGGCTGTGCCGCCGGGGCAGGGGCAGCCAGCGTCGCCCGTCCGGACCTGTGTGTATCGCTTCACTCGGCCTGTGGCGCTGCTGACTGCTTGGGGATGCCCGAGGACGGCGGTTTGACGTGTGGCTCGTACAAATCACACCAGCTGTGTCAAATGGCTGTCCTCAAATGTCCACTCACTCAAGTGCGAGTCTTGGTTCCGCGTATTAATTGAAACTGTGCAAAGTTTTAAAACTTTCTCTCACTAAGACACGGGTCCGCCGTCCTCGGGTGCGTTTTTATCAGCAGCTAACGCCTCAGTATTTTGTTTAGTTTGCTTATGCGTGGCTGATCTGCTTACAATGGGATGCGTTTCGTTCTTTTTGTAAGCTTGCCGTCGTTCGTGGACCGTGCGTATGAGTGAGTGCGCGTGCGGCGGGGTATGGTTTGTGACGTCGAGTGGCACGCCGTGCATTCAACTTTGACTCCTTGTTTTGCATGTTGCAGGTATATAGCGCGATGGAAGGAAGGGTAAGACTCTGCACCTTGCTTGGCGCAATGCATGGCCGGAACACCGTGCGTTTTAGACGCTTGCCCTCCTGTTGTTGTTCGCCAGCCGTGCAGGGCTGCACAAGACCAGCCATGTGACGTCTGCTCCCTGTCCCTCCACCCAGAGCTGGCTCAAAGTCGGATCGTGACGTGTGCTCCAGTGTTTGGGATGTAGCGGCCTGTACACTTAAATTCTACTAGTCTTCCGCTGCACGGTGTCGTTTATTTCGTGGCGTAGCCATTCAGCCTTCTGGTTTTCGCGTGGACTGCGCGTTGAAAACCTTTGGGTGCAAATGACTTTGCCATTAAGCAGTAATGTACCCCAGTCTAGTGACTCGGGTTCACTCGTGCCGCGTGCCGGAACGTTTTCGGTGAACGATTATGAGGTACGGGGCAGTTTCATCTTTTGGCCCGTGTATTTCGAGACAAGCTGTTCCGCGAATGGTTGATCGTTCCCCGATCAGACGTTGTGTTGATACCTTTGTCTGAAGTAACTGGTTTCCGTCCGTTGAGAGGGTCTCCGTAACTGAGTGCCACTCGGCGGTAGGCTATGCGCGCGCCGGAATTGAGACACCGTGTCGCTTTTGATGTGGCCTTTGTCTAACTTATGGCCATGTACAGATTTGTGTCGAGATACGCGGTCCGTGACCACGGACACCCGGCGCAGGACCCGTACACTGTGTACCGGCCTGCGAGAGGCTGCCGGCCGTGAGGGGCTGCCGGCCGTGAGAGGCTGGCTCTTAGAGGCAGCCGACCGTAGAGGCCGGCCGTGAGAGGTAGCCGACCGTGAGAGGCGGCCCTGGGAGGCAGCCGGCCTTGAGAGACCGGCTTCGAGAGGCAGCCGGCCAGGAGAGGCTGCCGGCCGTGAGAGGCCGGCCGCGAGAGGCAGCCGGCCGCGAGAGGCAACCGGCCGTGAGAGGCAGCCGGCCGTGAGAGGCTGCCGGCCGTGAAAGGCCGGCCAGGAGAGGCAGCCGGCCGCGAGAGGCAGCCGGCCGTGAGGGGTTTCCGGCCGAGACAGACAGCCGGCCGTGACAGACAGCCGGCCGTGAGAGGCAGCCGGCCGTGAGAGGCAGCCTTGAGTGGCAGTTGGCTGTGAAAGGCCGGCCGTGAGAGGCAGCCGGCCGTGAGAGGCAGCCGTGAGAGGCTGCCAGCCTTGAGAGGCAGCCGTCCGTTAGAGGCAGCCGGCCATGAGAGGGTGCTGGCGGCTGTGCGCTCTATGGTGTCCCATCCGGCCGATCAGCCGGCGCCGCACCGACGCCATCCGTACCTTGTCCGCCAGCGCGGCCAGCAGAACGAGACGGGCGCCAGAGACAACCCGGAGAAGGCGCTGCTGGTGCGGCTGTGGTCGGACTTCGACACCAGCTTCATGAAGCCGCTGCTGACGCACTCGCGGCCCACCCTGCTGGAAACGATGCCGCTTTGCTGCCACCCGTTAGCCCGCCTGCTAACCAGCACACAGCAGTTGACGCAGGTAATGATGACCTGCAGCTGACGCTGGTAACAACGCTCGGCGCCCAGCAGCTAACATTGGTAACAATGCAAAGGATATACAAGCTGACACAGATAACAACATGCAACAGCAGACAAATAGACCAACATCCAATACTCAACATTTGACATTGGTAACAACACACAGCATACATTACTTTGTGCAGGCAACAGCGCGTGGCAACTGGCCCTGGAAATGACACTCAGCACTTAACAGCTTATGCTGGTAATGACATGCCACACCCAACAGCCGACACAGGTGCCACCAACCAGCCCCCAGCGGCTGACACAGTGACAACGCTTTACACCCAATAGCTGGAACGTAGTGGGATGCATCACCGCCGACTCATATTAGCAGCCAATCATGCCCAGCATTGCCTATCAGCTGACAGGAAAATAACTTGACCTGACGCTCCGCCCCTGCTCTCCTGACGGCCCGCCCCCTGCCATCTTGAAGCTCCGTCCCTGCCCTCCTGACGGCCCGCCTCCGCTCTCCTGACGGCCCGCCCCCTGCCATCGGGAAGCTTCTCCTGCCCTTCTGACGCTCCGCCCGCGGTGGCAGGACACGAGCAACAAGTACGAGGAAGACGGCGAGCTGTGCCTGGAGGCGGACGAGGCCAGCTTCCAGCACGGCGACAACGGCTCGGTGCACTCGAGCGGTCACCAGGTCAGGCGGCCGCGACGGACGCCAGGGCTCGTTGGGGCCTCGGGCGGGCCCGGGCCCGCTCTGGGGTCAGGGCACGCTTCCGATGGGTCTGGTTGAACCAGTAATGGCTGGGGCAATCAAGTCAAGGCTGGTACGTCGGGTTCACTTTGGCGGGGGCCGGGTTTGTGGGGCTACAGCTGGGTCCAGACGAGGGTTGCTGCCTTCCCTGGAAACAAGACGGGGCCGCTGTTGACCCGGCTGCGGGCCAGTAGGTGTGGAACGCTCCTGCGCGCTCCCTGACGGCCGCCTCGAGCTGCGGGTGGGTCGCGGACCCCCGGACAGCCGCGCCCTTCCGAGCTCACGACGATCGGCGCCGGTGCTCGCTCCCGCACGCGTTCTCATCCATGCTGTCACAGGCAGAGCGTGTATGTTGTCAATGGCATCGCCTTCCGCCGGACTGGGGCCTCGCTCCGGAGTGCGATGGTCCCTCGGTTTTATATTCGGGGTAATCCTGTTGTTGCTTTCCTCTCATTGTCGGCAAATTCTTCTCTGTGTGCACTAACTTCGGTGGCGGCGTGGCTCGTCTCATTTTTCTCCTGTGGTTTGATTGTATAGCCATGAAGGCTGAAACATTTGGCGCTGATGCACGCTTAACGGTCAGATATGCATGAAGGCCTCGTTAGGTAGACCGCAGTTATGACCAACCTTGGCGCGTACACGTGACTAGGTGTCGTCTGAGATCGACAGAGATAGGACAGGTTAGCTCCTAGGTTACGTACGTTCTTAGTCGCACCCCACCGGTCCGTTGTGATTGTAGCACCGTCGCAGTGTTGTCGCCCCATCGCAGCGTAGTCGCACCTCCCGTGTCTCACCAGTTAGCACCAGTGTACGTCGAGTGTCGATGATCTCCAGACACGCCCCCGGCTCTGTCCAGGGGTTGTCTTGTCCCAGTCATGGCGCCTTCAGGTGAGGGGGGGGGGGTCTCGTGTGCGCCGCTAGCGGTCCCATGGCTCCGCGCAATTGCCGTTACTCTGGCCGGGGGCTGGCCGGCCCTCCGTGACATCCTGCCGTGGATTCCCTGGCGTTGCAGTCTCCGTGATGGGCTCCCGCCTGACCTGAGCTGGCGTCTGAGTCAGCACTTGGCTGTGATGTTCGCCTCTCGTGTGTCCGTGTGAGCCTCAGAGGCGTGTCGTCTTTACCAGTTGTGTGGTGTCCCTCACGGGAGCTACACTCCGTGATCCCCTCGTGGGAGCGGTATACACTTTGAGTCAACCCGTCCGGTGGCTGTGCGTGTAATGTAGCTACATGACTGGCAGCACTTAAACGTGATGCTGCGTTTCGCTGAACGTGTCCGATTATCAGTGGCCGTGGTCGTGTTTGGACTATACACGCTCTGATGCGTTCTAAGCGTGCTCGCCGTGTCTGTCTGCACCTGTAGTGGGGGTACACGCTGCTCCCCGTCTCTGAGTTGCGCCAGGCGCGCGCGCGACACCTGCTCTCCTGAGCCGTGAGTGGGCGCCGGCCGCGCAGCTGACCGCGTACGGGAGAGCCTGCTGCACGCCCGGGGGATATAGACACTCTGGCGGCTGTGTTGGGCTGGGGAGCGCCGACTGCGGTGGATCGGTGGACGAGGGCCGGGCTTGACCGGCGGCAGCCCCGGCCGGCGGAGGCCCCGGTCGATGGAGGGCCCGGCCGGTGGAGGCCCCGGCCGGTGGAGGGCCCGGCCGGTGGAGGCCTCTGCTGTCTGCCGCCGAGGGTGATTGCGGAGGTATCGTGCACGGCAGATCGGCAGAGGTGACGGTTGTGGTCGGCTGCTTCTTGGTCTGGTGGTGACGGTCGTGGCGGTAGGCGGTTGGGGACGGTCGGGTTGCACGTTTCATGCGGCATGGTAATGGCGTTCCGGGAGGGACCGCCTGATGCTAGCTTCATTGGGATGGACGTGGGCAGCATAAGATTTACTGGCCCCCGTCGGCCAGTAACTTGAAAACTTGTCGATGCAGTCTTGACCGATTTCACCAACCATTTAGTGTGGTCGGACTGGGCGTGTATTCAGTGACGTTTCGACGGTGGTAGGGCCAGTTCCTGTCGCCATCCCCCCCCCCCCCCCTGTGATGGACGACCGCTCAAAAGCAACCGCCACACACTTGCTGTGCAGAAGCCCCGCATCGCACCCGTTGTTCGGCGTGGCCACGTTACTGACACCCTGTCTGTTCCCTGCGCATGCGCGATGACCCAAAGCAGTCATCCGGTCCGGACGTGGACGCCATAGATCTGACACCCGCTGCCAGCCACATGTGGTAGGACGGCGGCTGGCCTGCACGGCCGATCTGTGTGTGTGTTTGTGTGCGTGTGCGTGTGTGTGTGCGTGTGTGTGTGCGTGTGCGTGTGTGTTTGTTTGTGTGTGTATGACCACCATTCTGCGCGAGATTTTCCACACGGACTGGGACTACCTGTGGACACTGTGCTTGCCTCTCTCGCAATGATTGGCGTCGGGTCGTGGGGCCCCGCACGTCCGAGGCATAGTGCACTGGGATGATGAGAGGACCCCGGAAGCAAGCGTGCGACCGTTGTCAGAACTGGCCCGCTGTTCGTGCCTCAACGGCTCTAGGTGCCAGATGAGACACGTGGGCGACGCCGGACACTGGCTGCGCCGTTCGTGAGACACGCCCTGTCCAACGCTCGCAACACGCCTTGCGTCTCGTCCTTGAGACACTGCTCACCGCATGCTTCTGGGGATTGGGTCAGTTTGGCCGGTGGCCAGTCTGCGCCCTCTGCTTGCGTTGGTGTGGGTCTGGCTTGCCACTCTCTTGTCTCTAATGCGCTTCAATCTCATCTCTGACTGCCTGTGCGTGCGGCCCACTCCTCGCTTTTTCCGAGTTGTTTGTCTGCAGGGAGCTTGTATCGATACTGTACGAGGTTACAAACGACTAACTAGCTCACGCTCATCGCTGAGCGTCATCATGATTTCACCATAGTGCTCGCCTTAATCTCGTCTATACGAATGGAAACTTGTGACTTGGACGTTTTTTCGAGACAGGCGTTGCATTCAAAACATAAGCTACGTATGCGTGATTTCTTGCAGCCCGGGAACGCTCTTGTATGAGCGTACGCGCAGTCTGTCGTGTTCCGTTGCGCTTAGCCAGGTGGCAAGCTGTTTGTCATGTTTTTGCTCTCATGTGTGGGAATATGACGTCATATCGTGTGCGATATGGTTTGAACTTTTAGGTCGTTGCAGACCGTGCAGCATTTTGCACCGCAAAGCTCTTTCCATTGAGTCTGTAAGTCAAACATCGTGCGCGCCTAACCTTTAGCTCTCTATTATTCAGGCAGGCGTGCCTTCGTTGACTCTAAAGGCCAAACAACGCTGAGATCTGAGGTTATGACCAGACTTGTGCTTCGCCAGGTCTTACTCCGCATCAGCTTGGTTTCGTATGCAGGCCTTGGCAGTGTCGGTATTGGACCTCAGGCCATGCTATTATAGGCCAGTTATAGCCTTTACTCGAGACAATCCAGCTTCTAAAGCGGTGTTGGCAGTTTGCATATATTCTCACCTGTTCTGACCACTGGGTTTATTTTTTCGCCTTGTGTTGATCACGCGGAGGGAACGACTCAAGTGAAAGAGCCGCACTGAACTCCAGTCGGCTTTCAACAGCTAAGGACGCGGCGGCTTTGTCTTTTGGGCGTTGGCAATCTTGGGGAAAGGATTGCGTAGTCAAATCAACCTATTTTAGTTCTTATTGCGCATGATTGACGCGTCTGAACATGATGGGACATGAAGACGTAGTCTCGTATCTGAAGACAAGAGAATTCAGTTTTGTGTGTTTGGATACGTAAGACTTAACCGAAGATTTACAATAGAAATCATATCACAAAAGGTTATGCTATTACAAAAAGCTACGGTCCCTATCATGACATCCGCACAGAATATTGGACTTCGGTGATTCTTCTGTGACGGCGGCTTCGCCTCCCTTGTAAGTGACGCCACCGTCGCTCAACTTTCTGTACGGTTACACGAATGGCGAAACAGCACTGTTCTGTCGCCATTAATTTTGTCCCCGTCTGGCGGTCTGGCTACCGCTCGCTGTATTGTGACCTGGCCACCGGTTCATGGCTGTGATGATAACCCTACTCCTGCCCCCTGTCTGGCGACCTGACTCCTGTCCCCCGTCAAGTGCCGAGGTTCCCGTGCCGTGCCTGGCGCCGCAGTGGTCGTCTCGTGTGTGTCCTGTGCGCCGCGTGCCGCCCGTCCGATGTCGCTTGGCGCCGCCCTGCTCGCTCCGGTGGCGCCGTCCAGAGCGTGCCGTCGGGTGACCCCAGTGGCCGGCTGCACGCAGATGGCCGCCGTCTCTGACGACGGCGACCTGGGTACCGGCTCGACGGCGGGCTACCAGCGGACGCCGGCGCCCCCCGTCTCCACGCGCGTCCACCTGCAAGGGCACGGGCGCGGCGACAGCTTGTAGGGGCGGCCGCCGCCCGAGCTCGGCCACGCTATGTCGGAGGCCGCTGTGATGTCCGCCACGAGGGCGCCGCCGCCGCCGCCGCCGCCGCCGGCTCTGCTGCGATTTTACAGGGCTCAGCTGCTTCGAGATTATCGGGGCGGTGCTGTCGTGGCGCTTCTCTGCTGCGAGGAGAAGCGAGGCGCAGGTCCATTCCTCTGCTGCGGTGGCAAGGGCGGGTGGGGCGGGCGGGGCGGGGCGGGGCGGGGCGGACCGGGCCGGGCCTTTTCCCGGCGAGACACATTCCGAGACAGCGTAAGAGACGTCGGAGGCAGCGCAGAGCTAGCCGGCTGTAAATAGGCCAGAGAGCGTCCGCACCTCTCACACTCACTGCACGTTTGTCGCACCCAGTCTGCGCATGCCCCGACCGTCTCGGCCGCTGATGCGACGCCGCAGCCGGACCTCTGCCGGTCCGGTGTCCCCTGGTCCTTCGCACACTGCAGCGGCCGAGTGCGGTTGGCCAGTGACCGGGGATGGTGTCTCAGAGCGGCGCGCGTGTTCGCAGAGGAGGCGGCCGCCCGGCCGCAGCACCAGCTACGGCTCCATGTCACTCTGAGCGGGTATCCCGCTGGCCGGACTCCCGCGAGTTCCGCGGCGGCCCTGCCGCGCGCGCCAGTGATCAAACGCCATTCGCGCCAGTCGGGCGGCGGCCGCTGGCTCCGAACGCGCGCCAAACACGACGGAAGCGGGAAGCAGCGAGTGTTGTCGATATTGTGGTGGGCTCCGGCGGTGGAGTACGAGCTGTTGTTGCATCGGTGTCATAATTTACTTCGGCGATTGTTTACGTTGTTATTTTTTACTCCCGTGTCGACAATATTTATGGAGAGGGAGTCGCGATATGCTTAGGGGCAGACGGCTCCGGCATTCCGTACCGCAGCCCGTTTACGACTAATCTCTGGCTCCGAGCCGGTCTATATCACAGTCCGCCTGTGTTGAGTGGCGCAGTGTGTGCAAGCATGTCAGTCATTCAACTTCTAAATCAAGGATACGTATCGTGCGTTCAGCCAATCGGTGTTTGTATCCTTCGGTGCTTATTATATGGAATGTCGTAAGCCACGCGTCTCATTCCGTTCGGCCAGTTTGCACGCAACTGCGGGATGGAGCCGCGTCGTCCATGTATGATGCCGCCATCAGAGGCCATGCAGCCCGGGGAGCGAGACCGCTGGACAGCGCGCCGGGCGTCCAGAGCGGGGCAGACGCCCGCCCAGCGCCGTCATGGGCGTCACCGTCCGAACAGCTGGCGCAACACCAGCCAACACACGACGCCTGCTGCCCGACGGCGCCTGCCGACCAACTGAGCTATTTCCCAAAAGCGAGGAGTAAACATCTACGTGGACGGAGTTCGGAGATCGTGACAAACACTACTCATGGCGGCAGCCACCACACCGCACATCACGTCTGCGGCCGCATATGTGCCGAGATCACGGCCGCGCACAGCGCCGACGGCACGCTCAAACACACTCAAATCTGACTAGAACGGACGGTGGAGCCGCAGCTACTGAGATCTCGAGAATACGCCGACAGGGGGTGAGGCGCCCATGGACGACTTAAACATTGCACTGGCGGAGGAGGGCCGCTGGCGGGCCTGTGGACCCGTCAGCCCACCACTCTCCGCTGATGGTGCTGCGGACTGCCCGGACAACGCGACAGATCGGCGCAACAGATCGGTGCAACGGATCAGCGCGACAGATCGGTGCGAAGGATCGGTGCGACAGATCGGTGCCACACGTGTGATTCGATCAGGGCCATAGAGCTAGCCACAGAACGATCGTGGTGGTGTGTCGGCGCCCCGACGCCCTTCCTCCGGCGCTCGCAGACGCCAGCCCCGCCGGCAGCAGGTAATCCAGTGACGCCAGCCCAGCCGGTTGCAGTGACGTCACCGTGACGTCATCGACGGCAGCATCTCGTCTATATGCTCTCCTTGTACTCAGGGATGAGCTGTTCGCGCACGTACAGCGAGTAGACGAGGCCCTGGCGTTTGTCGCCGCTCGTCACGGCCCTGATGAAGGCTGGCTGCTTGGCCACCTCGAAGTGGGTCTCAGTGCCGTCGTCGACAAACTCGCCCTGCCGGCGGGCGATCGGTCAGGCACCGCTGGAGGCGACGGCGGCCGCTCGTGGTATACAGCGCTGTTGGCGGCGGCTGCCGCGCTTGGGCCGTCCCACGCGTCTGGTGTGCCGAGGCAGATATACCCACCCGGGGAGACGGCGAGCTGTCGATAACACAGGGCACGGACTTGGGACCTCAGCTGTCCACAAAGTCCGCCGGCGTGCCCCGCCCTCTTCGCGTCCAGGCACACATAACAAGTACTGCCCAGCAAACAACCGTCAAAACATGAAATCTATTCGCAGAAGACGCCCCCCGCGCTCGGGAAACGTTCCCAGTGCGTATGAGACGGCTCCAGTGCACAACGGCCCCGGTGCGTGACGGACCCGAGCTGAACGCTTTGCCCAGCACCTGATACAGTGGCTTACCGCTGTCTCCAGTTTCCGTCCGTTCACCCATACGTCCAGCGTGCCCTTCTCTGAAACACCGCCGGCGGACGGTGAGTTCTGGCCCTGGCGGTCACGGTGATCGACACGAACTGGCGACGGCAGCGAGACTCCCGTCACAAGGTCTAGAGATGCACAGCTGACATGCACGGCATTTGCGCAATTTCACTATTTTAAATTTCTCTAACGAGGCTTTAAAATGTCTTTGAATGCCCAGAGGTGTGCTGCGCCGCCGTTGCCGCCCAGCGTTCCCTCCCAAGACACCGCACGGAGCCGCGCCGTGTGTGGCCACCTCACCCCGCTGCTTACCGAGGACGACCCTGTATGTGCCTTCGGAGGCATTCACCAGCCAAGTGCGCATGACCTTGGACTGGTGCTGGGTGAAGTTGCGGAAGGCCTTGCCGTCGACGTCGAGGGAGTACTGATAGGCGAACGCGCCGAACGGCTCGATTTTGACGGTGCAGCGGACGCGCTGCTTGCCCACCTCGAACGACTCGCTGCCGACGAGGCGGAACATCCAGTCCCGGCGCACCACCTCCTGAGGTCACGGGAACAAGTGAGCATCCAGTCCCACAGCACAACCTCTTCAGGTCAGGAGAACACATGAGCATCTAGTCCTTCAGCACCGCCTCCTGATGTCATGAGAAATGTGAGCATCCAATCCCACACCACCACCTGAGATCAGGAGGACCCGTGAGCACCCAGTCCCGCAGCATCACCTCGTGAGATCATTAGAACACACGAGTGTCCAGTCCCACCACACTACATTCTGAGGTCAGAACACAAACATCTAGTCTCACTGCACCACCTCCTGATGTGAGCAGAGCATGTGAACTCCAGTTCTCCACACCACCTCCTGAGGTAGTGAGAAACATGAGCATCCAGTCCCACTTCACCGCCACCACCACCTGCATTTATGAAGCACACAAGCATCCAGTACAGCCACACCACCTCCTGAGGTCAGGAGAACACATCAGCATTCAGTCCTGCCACACCATCTGAGCCATGTGAACATGTGAGCATCCAGTCCCACTGCACAACCTCCTGATGCCTTGAGAACACATGAGTGTCTACTCCCTCTGCACCACCTCCTGAGGCCACAAGAACAAGTGAACATCTGGTTCCAACACACCTCTTAGTCAGGTCACAAGAACATAAGAATGTCCAGTCTCACCCTACCCTTTTTCCTGCCACATCATCTCCTGTCTGACCATGATGCATGGCAACATGCCATTTCATCATGTCATACCAGCATTATAAAAAAAAACCAGAGGTATGCATCTGTTTGGATTCAAGAAAATTTAGGAAGTGATGCTGTGTCCATGCTGCATAATGAAGCATGGATTGTCAATGCAATCACATAAAGAAGAACAGCTCAGTCTCTGTATGAAATTTAAAAAGGCTTACTTGTCCATCAACCTTGATGATACGCTTGCCAGAGATGGTACCATGCTCAACTTCAATTTGGTGGATGCCATCATTGCATGGTACATCCCACACAGCCACCAAGTCCAGAGCCATGACCTGGAAGCATTCATGTTTAGGTATTTTTTAACTTTGAAAGTACATATTGGACAACATTATGCTGAGTGGATGTATATGCACAGGTAGTTCCAAATTCAAAGAAGCTGCTAAGCAAAGTTTAATGAGGCTATGTTAACCCGCCATACACGTTGTCTAGGCCGGTTTAACAACTGAAGTGCTACACAATGCTCTGACACAACATGAATATTAGCAGCAATTGTTCGTCAGACGCAGGGATAACATATTATTATTTCAGCTTATCACCACTATAAAAGGCGTTACATTCTGTTTGGTCTAGTTTTGCATACCTCCAACCCCTTCAACGCCCGCGTGCTGATCAAAACTCTTATGCGTATGCGTCAGTCTCCGTAGGCCCCTCCGCCCCCGTCCCGTCAGTCAAACTGCCAGCTGTCTTTGCGAATCAGACTCTGAGCATATGTCTCTCATGCGCCATTTAGTGATCATTAGGTTAGTGATCAACGCATTGCGATAACCTTGAGCATACAGCTTCTTTGTTTAGAGAACCCCAGAATCTCCGCTGGGATTATCATAGCACCCAGTGCTGTACTGCGCGGGCGCTGGGTTGCATCTGTCCGTGAGTTGCGTTTCCATTAAATTCGTCGCGAGTTCTGCGTGACCTAGGACGGTCATCAATTGTGCAATTTATTTGGTAGGCCTAAGGTGTTTGCTGTCGGGAGTTGGCATTTTACCGTCTGCATTTGTAATTTATGTATCAATGGCAACGCCCAGCCCCACTGCCGACGTATTCTTGCGTGTTGGGACCTGGTTGGACCTTTGTGAGATGCTGATTTGCGATGCTTGTGGCGTGAACTTGCCCAGCTCGACAACTATTCCAGCATAATTTTCCATTCAGGATTATGGGCCCAGCAAAAACATTAGCCCTGCCACATCAAATGCATGGCTTATCATGTGATGGAATCCTGATCCAGCAGGACACAAACAACTTAGGTGATGTTGACATACATCCATACATGTGCTGTTAAGAAAGCATACATGCAATGCATTTTGATTGCATCTGATTATGCTCAACCAAGTCACATGTGACAATAGGCTGGGACTAAAGTGTACCATCTTATGGTGCCCAAGGTGCTGCCCTTTTTGCCAGAGTGACATGCAGATGTCATTATATACCCAGCCTCAGCAACTGAGTGCCTTGTAAAGCACCACTCCTTTGACATGAGGGTTGAAAGTTGGATGCAGAACATTGTGCATGTATTGGTTTACACCTCTGATTCCAGATGCCAAGCACAACAATTATGTTTATACATTGGTGAGCTGAAATGATAGAAATTTCATTGTAAGGTACCATTTGAAGTTCCCAATGAGCAAAACTTTCACAGATATGCAGAAAATTGGTGTGGGCATGTGTATCTGTGTGCATTTTTGTTTGTTAGGTCAGATATTTTTCTTTGAGAGGGCCTAATGGAGTGTAATTTATTTCTAATCTACATGATAGGAAACCTGTCACTAGTTTATGAGAGACTTCTAGATAGAAACAAGTTCATAATGGTAATTATTTTGTAAATTTATTGTGTAAATTATTTTTTACCCAACTTTGGTGTATGGTCTAACAGGCATGCTATGTGGTGCATTACAATTAGCCATCCTTAATTTACCTCGCAATACTTGATGCCATGTACCATGACTGCCTTGTGAAAGTTCAGTTATGATTCAACTCAAGCAAAACAGCAAGAGTTTTTAACATGAACTTGTCTTTAAACAAAAAAGCAAACAAACCATACATGTGTAGAAATGTAGGTGTATGGTTGCCAAGGTTGTGGCACCCACTCTTTCCAACAATGTTAAACATGATCCCCATCATGACAGATGAAAATAATTAATTGCCCTCAAAGCTGGTTATGGCATCACCTCTTTCTGGGAAGTTTCTCCTATCACCTATGTATATCACCACAACATTGCCATGTCTCTCCATGCCATTCACTACCAGCTTCTGCTATTTCAGACAATTTGAACTTGAAAGGTCAGAATGATGGAGGAAGATGCCATTTTGGCTACATTGAAAATCCTGATCATAGGTGAAAGCGGCACTGGCAAGTCAAGGTAGGTCGCTGTGCATGGCATGGGGAAGGACCCATTTGAAATATATATATATATATATATATATATATATATATATATATATATATATATATATATATATATATATATATGTATATCCAGAGATGAGACTGGCACATCAAAGCATTAGGAGAGACTTAAAAGGATTTTTAACCACAATTATGTGTTCATCAAAACTATCCCACCTTGTCTCTCTGGCCACCTTAAAATGAATGACAAAATGCATGTAAAACTTTAAGCAGATTTAACCCATCTGTTTTGCATATGTTGTTGGCAGAAATAATTCCAAATTAACAAAGCTACTCTAGCTAGACCACAAAATATGGTACAGCCTCACATGCTAGTTGGCACATGGTTGTTGGCACTTCATTATTACAGGTGAGGCCTCAGGTCAAGTGAATCTCAATCTATAAATAACTAGAGATTTGGCAGCTTTGGTGGCCAAGCCAATCACAATGGTGATGGGCTTCCTCACATCTGCAACCACTGATGGGACCAGAGGGAAGTTTGGCATCATGACATTTTCAATAGTTTAAAAATTTGTTCTATATGTTTGCAGCACTTAAGTTCAGACTGGTTTGATCAGGGAACATGGTTTTGCAACATCACAACACTGCCATTGTGTTTCACAGTTCAATTAATGGGAAACACAAATTGACAACTTACAAAAAGCTAAGGAACTAAGGGTTAGGAATGGGTCCAGATCTCAGCAACCAGGGGTCGCAGTAACATGACAATCGCTAGTACTGATGGGAGAAAATGGAAGTGTGTGCCATAAAGCATGTGTCAAAGTGTGCTGATGCTTGCAGTCATGCATAAGCCATGGAGCATCTGTTTTGGGGTGGTTTTAGGTTTGATGCCAGGTCTTGATCAGATCAAATTAAAGTGCACACCGCAGCAAAAAATTTTACTGGTCACTTGGACCCAGTGATCATTTCAGTTTTTTTCATTTGTGTGTGTATAAATTTGACTGTAGCAGATCCAGCTGGCATCTAGGTCAGCCCAAAAATGGTATTTTTGTGTCTGGGATACTTTTGCTCCACAGCTGCACCCAATGCAATAAACTTTTTTGGAACCACATGGTGAGAGAAAACCGAAAAGCGTCATTCTTGTGGCTATTGGTGGACCAATTTTGAATGGTCAGCTGACCTGAATGCACCATAGCGGGGGAACAGAAATGGTCGGAATGAACTCCCCAGAGTTGTCAACATAGGTGTCAACTACATCTATCGGAACGACCGTTTTTGACCTTTCGTATCCTCTGGGGACCTCACAGTGACCTTAAGTTAAACAATCTGGTGCACATTTTTCATGATTTGACGTGACCTTCGCAACAATATCTTTGTTTTTTTTTAGTAAGATGTTTAGAAGTTGGATATCCCGGGGGAAATTAGCTGCCCCCCCCCCCCCCCCCCGGCGGGGCGCGGTTGTCGCGGACCCCCGACCGAGCGCATGTTAACTATTCCAAGCCCCCTCGTCTCGTCGATCACAGTAACCAGGCCTGTGGGGCCCGTCGCGTGCCCATATCCCAGCAATATGATTCATAAACTTGTGTGCGGAGTGACCATCAACGCACCTCTATCAGTGACATCGCGCCTTGATATCAGCACATCTTCACCTACCAAAGTCATCGAGGTGGGATATTTGAACGCCTTTGAAGCTCGTTTCTTAAAGGGCCTCAAAGCTGACAGGTTTCATTCGCAATTTTTCGTTTGTTATTTGCGCGGCGACAACAATATTCTCCGCCGTCACGTTGCGCGTCGCAAAAGGCGACTGACTGCTAGCATGTTTGTAACTTGGCAAGCATCAGATGATACGCTGTTTACTTAAGCCAGCCAGGAGCTGTGCAGCAGTTTTTGGTTGTTGTAGGCCGAATATGCTGTTAAGTTGTCAGCCACCACGACGGAGCTACTTTGTTTCAGTTTGTTGCTGCGTTTTGTGGACAATACCTTCGATCCCGACCAGAGCGCTACCATCGGGGTCGACTTCAAGGTCAAAACCATCAATGTCGAGGGCAACAGGGTCAAACTGGCCATCTGGGTATGTCAGCTCGAAGTTTGTGGTTTTTATAAAGGCCCCATATGTCATTAGTTGTGATTCGTCCGGACAATCGACATGATCAAGGTGACGTCAGATCCCGCGCCTGTCGTACCCATGTTCCGTGGCTGTGAATAATGCCCGGACAACGGACATATCACTATCGTTGTGAATTCAGACCCGGGAGTCGGATTTACACCAAGCCATCTTGTGGTCCATTCATGTACAGGCAACAATGACCCATTGTGGTTAACTTCTTCAGGCCATGGTCAGCTGATGGGAGCCTGCTTTGTCGCGTGACCTGGCTGTTCCACCCGACAGGACACGGCCGGCCAGGAGCGCTTCCGCACCCTGACGCCGAGTTACTACCGCGGCGCGCAGGGCGTCATTCTCGTCTACGACGTGGCCAACCGGGTCAGTTTCAGCAAGCTAGATATGTGGCTCAATGAACTTCAGACCTACGCCAACCGTTCCAACATCGTCAAGATGCTGGTCGGAAACAAGATCGACAAGGTTTGTATGCAGACACTAAGCATGCGTGTACAGTCGTACAGTGACTGCTGACGGAACCATTGTCGTCGTCCCGTTATGATGCATAGCTCGTGCGTGCTCGCCTGCTGCACCCGATCCGAGCGAGCTCGCCCGTCACCGTGTATCGATGTGTTCGGTCTCAGTCACGCGGTCGTGCCTGCCTGCCGCACCCGATCCGAGCGAGCTCGCCCGTCGCCGAGTATCGATGTGTTCGGTCTCAGTCACGCGGTCGTGCCTGCCTCCCGCACCCGATCCGGGCGAGCTCGCCCGTCACCGTGTCCCGATGTATTCGGTCTCAGTCACGCGGTCGGTCCGAGCGAGCTCGCCCGTCACCGTGTCCCGATGTGTTCGGTCTCAGTCACGCGGTCGTGCCTGCACTGGTGGCGCTGACTCGCCGATTGGCGCGCTGTGACGAGGCCGCGCGCGCGCCGCCCGCCAGGAGGAGCGGGTGGTGAGTCGACAGGAGGGGATGGCCTTCGCCCGTCGCCATCAAATGCTGCACATCGAGTCGAGCGCCAAGACGCGGGAGGGCGTGCAGCTGGCGTTCGAGGAGCTCGTCCAGAAGGTGAGGCGCCCCGCCGCCGGCTGGCCAGCCAGTCACCGCTCCGCGAGCGCTGACGCCACCCGACTGATGGCCAGCGATGTGATAGCACACTGCCATCGTGAACGCTGCATTCCATCCGGTTGTTGTCATCTGCGCTCTTTCGAAACCCTTAACTGGCGTTGTCTGCACTGTGTTTGATTAGTACGGCGTCGGTCAATC